TGTAAAAAAAATTACGAAACATTAATGAAACAAATACGAAACAATAACGAATCGATTCGTTAATGGCAGACGCAACCGCGCAATACGCTAAAAAACCTCCAAATGGGACAGGGGGAATTTCTGAAGCTTCCCTCTCCCTCTGTTGTTGACTGTTGGTGTGATATTATAATTTTTTTTCACTAATTAAACAAAAAACAACTATAAAACTTGCCCCAGACATGCGGAAATAATAACGAAACGACCTCAAACCGATAACGAAATGAATACATAACGAATCCGAAGCATTTACGAAATGAATTTAAAAATTCATTTCGTTTTTAAGTTGCTCCAGAATGTTCGTTATCGCTTCGTTATAAAAAAAAATAACGAATTTTTAACGAATTCCGAATTAACGACACGAAACCGCCCAGCCCTACTAGTCACAGTGTTGCTGGCAGAACGATGCCTGTGGTCAAAATGGAGAAATTGCTTTTTAAATAAAATATTAGATTTCTCCTTATAAAAGATTTTAAATGGTACAACTAAAAATTCCTAAAATTCCCTGCTATTTGTGGCCATGGGATATGTAGCCACATGACTTCAGAATTCTGGGATTTGCAATCAAAAAAGTCGCTGTTCCAATTTGTGCCTACAAAAGGTGGATGGAATTTTTGAATGTTTGCATATATAAGATGGAGGGGATCAAAACAATAGGGAAAACTATTCATAAGCAACTTGAAAAGCACTTTAGGTTTACATTTTCAATATTTTAGCTCACACTATGAAAGGGAATACTCTCAGAAAGACTGCCACGTTCAAAATAAGAGATTGAATTTTTGTTTTTTGAAAGAAGCAGCAATGTTTTTCCCCAAATGTTGTAACATGAGAAACCCCATTTCCAAAAGTATCCATTGCAAAGTCCATGATGACAATTAATTGGAATTAAGGGAGGCAGATATAACCTGATGGAAGCAGGATCAGAAAGTTATTTGAGGTAGTTGGATACAGGACATATTGGCAGTTAACACAGTGTTCCAGACCATGTTAAAGTTAGTGAAGCGTGCATAGACCTTTCCAGCTCGGGAAGGTCAATGCTTGCAAAATAAGGGGGGCATTCCTAGAGGGACCCATTTATCTGCCAAATAGAATTGCCAAATAATTCTAGTCCAGGCAGAATGTGGTTGAAAATCTACCCACCCAACCTGATACACACACACTCACACGGCTCAGAAGACGGTGGGTGAGCAGAACCAGTTGCATGTGAGAGACAGCTGGTGTGATTACCGGTACTATGTATTTGCAAAGCTTGGAAATGCTACTGTTTTGGACTAAAACTGGGAACTTCTGGGAGTTGCAGTCCAAAACATCATTTTTCTAAGCTCTTTGGAGCTGCTAAAGGTTGTGATATAATCATATCATTGTACCACACTGCTCCAGATGGCTTTCAGACATGGAGACTTAGAGCAATGACACATCTCCCAGAAGTACCCAGTGGATTTTAGTATGATTTCAATGGTAATGGGAACTTCCAGAGAAGAAAACAGATCCCCTCCCTCTTAATGGGGTACAGCTGTTTGGCAACATCTAGTGGGAATTTCTAGGCGAGCAAAGCTTCTCCTGGAATAGAACTGAGATGGGATCATAGGGATTGTTTGAGGAATCCATTTGCTATTGTTGCAAATTCTGGTATGATCTGACCAAATCAACATCTCCTTGACTAATACAATGGCTAGAACATTGTTGTTCTCTGGACTTTTTTGAATTCTATAATTTTTGTTATGCAATTTTTGGTCTAAACATTGACCACGGTTGAGATGTTGCATCAAGATATGTACATCTATCAGATAACTACATCTGATAGCTACATATTCTGATGATGCTTCCTGCCCTAAACCACATCCCCCAATGTAGTAATGACTTTTTGTAACAGATAGGGCAGGAATGCATCCAATTATTTCCCTGTAGTGTCCTGCATTGTGACGGGGGGGAGGTCCTTGAGATGTCATTGTTGATAATATCCCAGCAGCATGACCAACTACAAGAAAATGTCTGGATGTGTCCCTTGCTTAGTTCCTTGCTCTCTGACGACATGGAAATAATCAAGTGGGGAAAGGGAAGACACGCTGCTTAGAAGGTGGGGTTTTTAAAGGATTTCAGCATGGTTGGAACAGAATTCTGACCTCTATGACAACCAGAGCAGTGAGGTGCAATGGTGCAAGTCTGATTTAAAACCATTATAATTCACACACAGTAGGCCAGCCAAATGAACAATTTAGGATAAAGTGTATTTGGAAAGACACTTTAGAAAATATGTTGAAACGTGGATTTAAACCCTTTTCTACAGCTCTTTATTAAAAATCACAGATTAATGCATAAAACAGAAAAGACAGAATGAATATATGAGAAATTGAAGTAGGTGAGAAATAGTAATTGATCCACCTCCAATGGTTTGTGCTCCTTCTAGCATTTGGCAAACTAGATTGTTTTTATGATTAAGCCTGGCATCTACAATTCTTCATCATCCCTAAAAATTCTGATCATTTAACTGGGCCAGCTTGACCACATATCTAGGTGCACATATTCACTGTTTATGGAGATAGTTGAGGCTTTGTCAGTTGTGGTAAAGACATCAAAATCACAACCAATTGTTTAATATTTACAAATACTGCTTAGGGTAAGTCTGCAATGACCAGTACATCTGGGGCAAGTACAGGGCAGAAGTGTTCCAGACCAGTTCTGGAGGTGGCTAAATGAGCCATCCTGAACCCACACTAGTGGCAGTTTGATGTTTTCACAGTGTAACTATGCTGAGGCCATATTTGCCTCACTGAACTGCCACCTTATCATCTGTTTTGTGTGGTCATATGGGATATGGTCATGATTCATCCCCTTCTCCCTGCACTGATGAATGCAGTGGAAAGGGAATGGCAGCAATACCCCATGTGGACAATGGGCTGGTACAAATCAGACCCATCCTGCTGTCCAAGCTGCCCTGAAATGCGAGGTTTGCTTTGAAGTTTCTTACAGCTTTTTGCAGAGAGATTGAATTTGTTATGGTGATCATCCACAGTATCTCAAGAAGCAGAGTCTCTTTTGCTTCTCTCTTCTATCCTTAGGCAGCTTTGCATTGTTGGCACTATAGATACTGTATGCCTAAACAGAATTGTCCCGTAAACATATACAAGCTGGCACCCTAGTCAGTAAGTATTAGACAGTAAACTCAATTTACAGTGTTGTAGCTGTTGAGAATTCCCATTTAATATAAAATGTAATTGTAAAAACCTACAATTTCAACCTGTAAATACCTCAATCAAATGCTTTCTGGGGTGTTACAAATTAGTGCATGAGGAAGTGACCTCATCAGCACTCTCTCCACTGCAAAATATCTTGACACAAGTATTTGGGGCAGGACCTCCAAATGCCTGTTCTAGATCCACTCGGTGCTGCAATATACAGCTCCTTAGAAACTCTTTGATTGAGGCACTGCCAGACTGCATCAGTGGGGTTTTAGGCATGGTATTGTCAGATAGAACTACAATGATGGAGTACTGCCATTGTAGTCACATCTGATGATGCAGTTTCACCCAGGGCCAAAGGATGGACCCAATAATAACAATGTAACTTTGCACAGCATTGCTGTTCGACTTTTTTTTTTTTTTTTTTGCTTTAGCATTGCCATTCACTGTGCTACTTCTAAGAAATGCTAGTCTGTGCTTTTGATCCTTTTGGGAATATTTTGTATGGAAATATACTTACCACTAACAATGTATGACCAACAAACTGGTTAGTTAATTCAAAGCAACAAATTCAGTCCTTGGACTGTTCAGTTGACTGGTCTGCAGATCTATTGATTTCTCCATTATCAACTTTTCCCTATTAGAGGAAATTTGGCTTCTTTCCAAAGGACCTTTGTTTTATTACTTAAGTCATTTTGACTTGCAGCACTGATGCGTCCTTCTGTCTTATCCTTTGTCTTCTCGGTAATCTTCCTCTCATGTGGATCTTCTTCAACATTTTCTTTTGGGACTCCTGGTATGTTTGTGTTTTCGCTACTTTGCCACTGAAAGTTTCTGTGTGTGGTTTTACCACCCGTTTGTGGTAGCCATATTCATTCTAATCATTATGGAAATTATTCTTCTCTTCAGCAATTACAACATTGTGAATGTTCTGTGATATTGCAGCAATTCAGCCAGTGGCAGCAGGAGGGAAGTGAGAGGCAACAGGCTGCCAGATTGTAGACTGTGGTACATATTTCAACATGGTAAAAAGGCTTTTGCCATTTTATCATATAGAACTTCTGATGTGATGCAACTTTTAAAACGTAGGGTTTGTGTGTGTGCATTGTGAGCTCTAATAAAGTCAGTAGAGTGGTGAAGGTGAGGTTGCTCCAGAGAATGGGATGTATTAGGTGGAAATTAATTGACTAGATGTTAAAATTTGGTTAAACTTCAGTGATACATTTAAGACAGGTTTCCCTCACCTTTTAACTGCTAACTTTCAATTACTTGCTCTTTTGACAGAATGAAATTATATTAGCCATATACCACACTTTCATCCCCCGGTCCACTCTTTCAACTGCTATTGTCCCTTTCAGCCTGTGAAACCGCTTCGAGTTGCCTTTTTAGGCTGATATTTGCGGTATACAAAAGAAGTAAATAAATAAATAAATAAATCTACTCAGCATGCTGTTCCCATTCGCCTCTATTGATTCAGCACTATCTAGTACCCTCTCTTGCATTTGCAAGCTTTTCAAGCATTTTCAGATTTTGACAGTGCCCTGGTCTCTAGTCTGTCAGACCAGTAGAGGATGCTTGGCTATGACAAATCTTTTGAAAAATGATTCTTTTGAAATTGTTTCAAGTTTCCTTTGAATTCTTTTGGGGTTTTTTCCAAAGCAGGAACCATTACATTCATTTGAAGTGTGGATGAAATTAGAGACCCATCCTGCTGCTTTTTGAGATTCTCTTTGCAGTGTGCAGATATACCTTGCAAGGGTGCAGGACTGAACACGCCCACCATACTTGTTTTCCCTGTGCAAAAAGTAGAGAGCCTTTATTCCTTCACTCTCTTAGTATTGGAGATACAATTCTAGCAATCCAGACACCAAGCTGGGCATTTCAAGCAACAGTATATTTCATATAATTGATTTTGTTTAAAATCTTATCATTTATAAAGCCATACAAGTAACTGCAATGAGTTCAGATAACTGTACAAAGGGAATGAAAGGATGTGTATGGTCCATTCACACATGAACCATGAGTGGCGCAGAGCTGTCTCTTATGTAAAAATGATGAAAATGATGGGCACAAAGATACAAAATATAAAGGAAAATATGTCTATATAAATACATAGAAAGGGGGTTAGTCTAGGTTTTTCCTCCCTCTGACTCCTTTGAGTATATGCCCAATTATGCATTTGCACATCTGTGCATTTATTTTAAAAATGCGAAGGTGCAAGAAGGAAAAATGAAAGGTTGTTTCAGGCTGTTATTAATCCTGACAAAAATCTGTTGCAACAATAAAAATAACAGGAGTCACAAAACAGTAAATGTAGTTAACAAAAAATATGGGTCTGCACCATTTGGTTGCCATCCCAGGTTTACTTACCCACAAAAATCGAAAGAACGTACTTCCTAGTAAATGTTGTCAGGTCTTGAGCATTTGGAGAAAGTGATTTGCTTCAGAGCAAGTCTACTGGACCTAATGAATTTGCTTCAGTAGGGCCAGTGGAGATTAATAGGGTCAATTTTACTGCTATTAGCAAGACTCTCTACTGAAAAAGAAAACAGGATTGCTGAACATATCACTTGATTCCATGGAGCCCCCAGTGGCACAATGGGTTGAACCCTTGTGCCAGCAGGACTGAAGACCGACAGGTCGGAGGTTCAAATCCTGGGAAAGCATGGATGAGCACCTTCTGTCAGCTCCAGCTCCCCATGCAGGGACATGAGAGAAACCTCCCACAAGGATGGTAAAACATTAAAACATCTGGGCATCCCACGGGCAACATCTTTGCAGATGGCCAATTTTCTCACACCAGAAGCGGCTTGCACTTTCTCAAGTCATTCCTGACACCAAAAAAAAAAATATGATTCCATACTTTCCACATGATCTCCTTTCATGGGACAGGTTTAAATATGAAAAGTTAGCATTATTTCTGTTGGGGCTTGATATTCCTAAACCATTTCAGGAATCAAGAAGTCACATCAGATATTTTAATTGATGCATTGGAAAATAATACTGTATTACATTCTCTTGATCTGCCCAAATATTTTGAGGTATTCGCTAATGACAGATTTGGATGAGTCTGGACTGGGTGCTTTATTGGGTGTGTTACTAGGAAGCCTATTTATGGGCTCCAGGTAAGTGTAAGGCCACAATTCAACACAGTCTTTGAATGATGAGAAGATGAGCAAAATGCTGATGGCAAAAAATCAGCCACAAAATTTAAAAGTTAAAAGAAAAAATCTGATGTGCGAATAGGGAAATCGACATTCAATCTACCTATGTTTAAATTCTTCTCTTCTATTAGAATAGGGTTTGGCAGCTGCACTGGAAGGGGACAGTTTTTGCTTTGTCCTCCCCTGGCAAGTTACACTTTTGTGTTCAGATTTTACTTTACATTTATTTTTAGCTGCTGGGGGTTGTTTTTGTTTGAGAAGGTTTTAGGGGGTGAATCTTGCTGTGTTTTGACAGTGGTTTGGATGATGTGGAGAAACTGATTACTCATGAAAAGTATTTAGAAAATTGGATGATGGGGGTTTTGATGTTCCTGGGAAGGTTGCATAAAAAACCTGAAGAGCCACATGTGGCCTATGTGTGTGACATTCTCATCCCACCTTTAAACATCTTTTTTTGAATCTCTTTACATTTGAGTGCCATAGCTTTTTCTGTCTTTCCTGAGGGGCTCCTTATTTTTTTAATACCCACAGGTAGACACAAAATAATCTTCTCCATGTAAGGATAGCTACTTTTATTAAATTAGGCTAATAAATATTATATTGTTCACTTCACTTTGAAATTAACTTTTGAAAATTTGCAGATTCCTTCACAAATTTAAAAAGAACTTTAGAAGAGAAAATAGAATTTAGACTGACAATTTTTTTCCACTTATAACTTATTTTCAAATGCGTATGCATTGTTTTCTGCCAAGAATATCATTACCATTCTTTCTAACGAACTAAAACAATGGAATCAGAACTAAAGAGATGTAACAAAAAGAGAAAAGTCTAAAAAGACTGGGAAGATTTGCTGCTAATTCAATCCAATTCCAGGCTACTCTGCAACTTAATGGTACTCTGTAAAACCTTCATGTCAAAAATGTCCCTTCCCCCCATAATGCAAGATATGGGGCACTTGCTTTAATGACAATAGAATCACAGACTCGGAGAAGGCCTGGCAGACCATCTAGCCTAATCCCCTGGTCAGTTCTGGAGATCTAGGGTTGGAACATCCCCAACAGGTGGTTTTCCTGCCTCTGCTTGATAAATTCTCATGTGGCACAGTTCAGCTCTCTTACAGGTAATTAATTATGTCTGATTCTCTGATGACTCTGGAACAGTATGGATGTTGCCATTCTGATTACAATTTTAAAACCTTCATCTATGCCATAAACTCAAGACCCAGTAATGCTATTACCTTGATGTCCAAAGTTATCTCTTGTGTTAAATGCTGAAACTGATAAAGGGCATTGGAACACAGGTCCACTCTTTGTCTCTTGCATATTCCACAAGAAAATGAATGGATAATTTTACCAGATAATCCTCAAATAATGCACCACATAAAATTTACCTGGATCCCAACTCTTTTGAATGAACAACTACATTACAGGCCAACAGGAGATAGCCATATTCTTCCCATATATTGACCTAATTTCTTCTTTATGCTTATTTCCAGTCTATCAACCTCAGACTGCACCCTGAGATGGTCCATTGAGGTGGTTGTGGTATAGGTCTGATATGGCAGTGGATGCTCCCATGTCTACAAAAAGAGAGAAGATTAGCTAACTACAATGTTGCCTAATGGTCCTGCAAAGAGCTACAGTGCAGCAGGCTACCATGGTGGAGACATTTATCAGGTCATAATTCTCACATCTCCATTGCACAGGATATCAAATAACCTCAACAATAGTAAAACATATTCAAATCTTTGTGAATGTCTGAGAAACAATGTCAGTATATGAAGACACACTTCTGTGTCTAGTGCTGTTGACTTTAATTTTTTTTCTCAAAGGTTCTGGTGAGTGATTTGAGTAAGCAATATAAAATGGTTGCTTATTTGATATGGATTAGGGGACCATTAGGAGGGCTGAGCAGCATTTTTATATAAGGGTTAAGGCCTCGAGGACAAGCATATGAGGGTAGTTGAATGGCTTTTCTCCTGTTCTCTAACATATACATATGTTACTTTGGCTATTTCACTACTCAATAAATTTCTTCATATATCAAATTACACATAAAACAGTTGACATCACCGACCTATTGAAGCATGGCGAGTGTTTCATAAATTGGCTAGATAAAACAAACTAAAAAGACACTAGCCAACCCAATTTAACACAAAACAAGAAAAGGAAAGAGGCACATGAAATAAATGTACAACCATCAGGAAGAGGAAAGTGCATGTCAAATAGGTATCTTTGGCAAGATTATGCAGTACTCTTTGCACAGGAGAAGATGTTTGGTGTGCTGGTGAATAAAATATAACACCTTGAACTATCAAACTAATAGAATCATTATTACATAGCATACATGGCATAAAGTTACATTAAACATAATTCCCAGGCACTGGAAAGAGGGGTGTGTTTTGAATGGGACAGTTTTTTTCTCCTGCATTCCTTAAAAGAAAGAGAATCAACAAAATGTATGTGTTTATTGGGAAGATTGTAGCAGCTCCTCCAGCATTTGGGATTCAACAGAAGGCAAACCAAAATGTCAGTCTTACCGGCATTACAAGAAAACCACTCTCCAATCCAATGGAATAACTGTGAGTATGGCTTTTTGGCTGACAGGGTAATACTTGATTCGCCAAAGAGGAGACGTCAATGCAATAGCTTGTTCACATTCTGGGCAAATATCTATACAGATCACAATAGATAATGAACATGGCTTAGCTTAACAGCCCGCAAGGTGGAGATTGCAGGTAAAGGCAAAGGTAAGATGGTTTCTCATTCCCAAATTTGTGATAGCTGTGATTGCCTTTTCAAAATTCCCACATACCTCAAGAGGCACTCTTCCTGTTATGACTGGACTGATAGTCCATAAAAAATGATTTATTTGCAATTGTAGTCTTAATACTTGTCCCTGTTCTAGAAAGGCACAGCACCGCTTGAAAGGAGGCGGTGAGATCAGGATTCCTCTGACCCTATTGAGATATACAGAGGAATTGGCTGGTTTAGAGTAAGGAAGACTCATGACCCTTGATAAGTGCTTGTGCCCCTGTGGGCTCTCTCGCTCTCATTTTGAAAATCTGAATGAAAAGCCATGCTGGAGGAGCTGAGGTTGATCTCAGTTAAACAGGGATGATAAACACAATCATTTCTCCTATAATGCAGCTTTTGTCTTGGGTGCAAGCAAAAAAAAAAGCAACATGTTACATTATGTGATTAGCTTTGCTTCTTCTCTTCTCTTTCCTTTTTTTAAAAAAAAGCCATTATCAGCAGTAATGCCTAAAATGTAGAGATCTTACACTTCCCATCTTCAGCGAGTGAGTTAGTAGTGAGCAGTTTGTGGCAAGAAGCAGGTATTCTGTTGACATGCACATGCTTGCCATGATGATATTTATTTATATATGACCATTAGATGACTTACATCAAGCTTATTTCTTTTGAATGGCAAAACAGGAACAAAACAATTAAGTATCAATACCACATTCTGCAACACAGCAGAAAATGTTCAAGGAAAGGGGGAGGAGACTGCAAGTGCTTGAAAGCAGTGAAAAAAATGAAGTCTGAAAAATAGAGACTTTCAAAAATATATATATATATTTATAATATTTATATATCTATAGACACAGTGTTTCTCTAATTGGTTAATGGCAGGGTGAGACAGTTGCAGGCGAGGGAGGGGGAATCATCTTGCTTGAATTTTGCAGAAGGAGAGAAATATTTGCAACCAACATAAAGAAGCTGTTGAAATCTCCAGCATCCCATCCAGTTGAGGACAGGGTGTGGAAACTGGATGATGACACCAAAACTTGATGCTCCCACTCCATCCAAGTACCTGTCTCGGCAACAGCTCTCAAATGCAAAACCAACACTTTGTACAGTATCCAGAAAAGTGTCTCTCTCTCTACACACTTTCACACATGCGCTCACCACTAACCCTCACATCACTCAGCAACAGAGTACCAATCCATACATGCTCACTTGCTCAGGCAGATGACTAAAATGAGGGATGAAAAAATACCATAAGATGCCATATTGTGGTACAAAATCAAAAACACATTAAGGAGCTTGGGAGAGGGACAGCCATCATCTTTTAAAACCTTGCCCATGTCAAGAATACTAATTGCTTTGCACTAAGTTATACATACAAGAAACAATAACATGGGGAAGGGAGGAATGGCAGGATATTGCAAATATTGGAGGAGATAAAAGATAGATAAAAGCAATATGGCAAAATAAATACTTTTCTTGGAAATTTCACTTTTTAAATTTTTTTTGACTAGCTTACATTATTTTGTCAGTATATTTCATACGTACATACTTACATACATACATACATATATATTATATCAAGGCAATGAGAGAGTCACACTCTCCAGGGGAATTTAAGTGGCAGCATGTCTTGGAATTCATTTTTGACTTTGAGTCACTATGTGACTAGGTACTGAAGTGTCTCACTGACACACATTCTTTTCCAAAATATGTTCTCCCAATATTTTTAGGTTCTCTTGTATCAACAAGCCAGACAACATTTTGTAGGATATGGCTTTGCATCATAATGTTTAGGGGGGAGAAATAGCCTACCAGAAGGCATCAACCCAACTGACTCTCCACCACTGCTGTGTGTCATGAAGACCATCCTGTGTTATCAATGAAAGATGTATATGGCCAACAGACTTACGTTGTTGCCATGCATACTGGTCTTTTCAGACCGGTTTTCCTTTGACCAGATGACAAGGCAACCCAATGCAAATTGCTTAAATAGGGCCTTGGCTCTAGTTGAAGTAGAGATTGAAGAATTCACAAAAACCCATAGGATTTTATAAATGGGAACAACTCCTTGTCCGTTCAGCAAAAAACTCTTTACCTGGGATTTGTCAATTGCAGGCGCTTGAAAGGGCAGTGAGAAAATCCCTCAATGAACTCTGGGGGCCTGTAACAGATCCTTCTATAGTCAAGCAAACACCTCCTGATAATTCAACCTCTTTTTGACAAACATACTGGGAGCCATCAGTTAAAATACAGTACTTGTGTGGCCCCCATACGGAATGTCTCAATGATAATACGATTGGTTGTTGATGTTGAGCTGAAAAAAGGTATCGATCCTCCACAGCTGCTACACTACCCCTTCACTGTGGAGATGAGCATGAGGTTGCTCTTCATGAGGCAATTGGCAAGACAGAGGAACTGTCTCCCTTTCTACGACAAATCTCCATCAAAGACCACACAGCTAACAGTGGGCTAGTGGGTCAGCATAAGGCTTGACGCTTGATGCTTTTTGTAGCAAAAGAAAAAATTAATGAGGCAAACCAATGAACAAGTTTTGCTGCACACTAAACGGTTGTTGGATCACCTATGGCCATGCTTAAGCCAGAGCTCACCCCAACCGGGATCTTTTTTTTAAAAAAGGTTAATCTTACAAAATCCCCCACCCCTTCCCCATGATCAGATCATTCATCTCATCTTTGCACTACAGAATAAATTTCATGCAACATACAAAACTGCGTGCATTTCTCCCAAAGGAGAAAGGAGAAACCTGGACAGGGTAGTTTTTACTTATACATAAAAGGAATGGCATTCCCAAACTGCTGGTATTTCACGGTTTTAGAGGCAGAGACAATGTCTCTGTTTCAATGGCCTGTCACAGACTGACTCGCTGCACAGAGATATCTCTCTTACTTTGGCTAGCATGCGCCTAAAACTAACTAGGGAGAGATCGCCCACTCAACAACTCCTGCATGTTTTTGCTTGTGTGTGTGTGTCTGTGTTTGTGTGTGTAAAAGACTGTGGATCTAGTTATGTGCCACAATTGGTTAAAATCAGAACTTTTCACCTCCCTAGTAGATCTCACAATGTTGGTATCTGCTTAGGGGGTATTCCTCTCAGCCAGATTGATAGAAACCCATATTCTTGATGGATAGGGGCTAATTAGGATGTCAACAAATAAAAATTCTGAACAATCACTACTTGACATTCAGCAGAGGCAGAGTCCTAATGCTGCAGATTTCCACAGATACACATTAAAACATGTGAACACTATACACACACACACACACAAACTCACTGGCACACATTTGTGCACACCCACGCAGATATATTTCATACATTCAGCAGTTGAAGAGTTGGGAGCAATAACTTTCAGAAATGATTGCTTGTTTGGCATGTCTCTCAATGTGATTTCCGCAGCTCACGTATTCATGATTAATTTTTGTTTGTTTGTTTGCCTTATTTTCTAAACAAGCAACTACTATATAGTCCTACCCCCACAAAGGTTAATAAGATCCGTGCTTTGGCCTGTGGGGCTGAATTCTCTGATTTTTCATGCTGATCCAAAAGCCAAAACTGTCTCCACCTCTGGAACTCAGCAGAGAAAGGTGACAATGTCAATTCCTTGGCTTCTGCATTGTACGTACATTTGGTTGGTTTGGGCCTTCCAAAAATTCAGGCATATTTTCCCTTCTCTTTCCCCCCATTGGTTCACTTCCTTCTTTCACCATGCACTTCCTTACACTCTTTCTCGGAACAACTCCAAGTCCTTCTTCAAAATTCAAGGGCAAGAAGCCCCCAGCTGGGGGAAGACAGCAGCTCATCTCTTCTGAGAGGAACCGAGCATAACCCTGGAAACAAAATTGACGATGGCAGCAGCTGGCTGATCGGGGTCCAGCTCGGCAAAAAGGTGGCAGACATTATCCGTCGTACTGCCTTGCTTTCTGGCCACAAAGCCAAAGAGCCTGCAGAAATGACAAAAAATAAGCAGAGAGGGAGAGAAACTCAGAAAAAGCACATTCAAATTCCTTTTTGGACTACAATTCCCAAATGAAACTTTTTGGAAGTTGTGATCCAAAAAGCAACTATGTGTGAAAATCCCACAGCCATTTGCAGAACAGTGGTTGCTATCAAACTTAGGATCATATAGCTGTATTAGATAATCCATCTACATACTTAGTGGGACATAAGGATGCAAAAGGAACATCCAAGATTCATAAGAAACTGGAAGAGATTGGGATTCTTGCTCCCAGGAGAAGAAACAGAATAAAAATGAGACTACATAGCTTTATCTCTTTTTATTTTATCTCTTTTTATTGCTTATACTGTGATGTGCTATGCACATTAATAGTACTATATTTTTCATCATCATCAATCAGTAATAAAAAATCACTTTCTTTAAATACAAACAAAATGTGACTTCCTTTAAAAAACAGGAAAGTTATAAATGCTACATGGAAGGGAACAGTGATCCTACTCCTGTCATATCTAATTAGAGACAGAAAAATCCTGACAGCTGGAGATTCTAATAAAAACACCCCTTGTGATACATAGTACCTAAAATTAGAGGGGCTCATAAGTCCATAAAGCCTGTTCCAATGCTATTAAGCTAGCAACAACATCAGAAACAGAAAATCGAAACATGACCTGAGAAAGATGACCTGACTCCAAATGCATGGGATATTTACAAGGAAATTTCCCAACAAAGGAAAAGTAGCTTGGATTTCCTAGTGTATCATGGCTCCAGGTGATACATGGCGCTGCTGATGTCATGCACCTTCAAGATGCTTCTGACTTATAGTAACTCTAAGGCAAACTTATCTCAGTTTTTCTGGGACTGAAAGTGTGCAACCTGCCCAAGGACACCCAGTGGGTTTACATGGTCAAGCAGGGAATTGAATCGTGTTCACCAGAATCATAACCCAAGCTTAAAACCCCATACCATACTGGCTCAAGCATCAGCCAATGTTATGTTAACATTACATAGACAAATAAACAACAAACCCTTTTTAATTGCTATACACAAATGAAACATTTTGTATAGAAGATAATAACCCTTAGTTTTAGTACTGTGTGTGTGCACGCATGTACACACACAGTAAAGTATGTCCTTGGGATACAGGAGCCACTGCTTGTGAATACTATTGTCCGTCTGGAGTATTAAACTCACAGTGTGATGGGGAATGATAGAGTTGGGTAACAATCTTTTAAAAATGACTTGTAATGGAAATGATAAAATCAGTGCGGTTCATGGTACATGTATGGGCAACTTGGACCCCTAGGCTGCTTCCTTTGCCAGTAAAAATGATTGGGAAACTTATATCTGTATCTGGTTTGTGGGTGTGTCAGAGGAATTAAATAATGATTGCCAGATAAAATCCAAGAGATGTCTATTGTAATGTCAGTCTTTAACAGATATTTGATAGGATGTAGTATCATAAAAATCTTTGTTAAGTGGGATGAAGGTACCTGTGCTCCCACAATGTCGAAGCCCCACCTTTCAGTTGTGCTTCCCAGTATGGCTATTGCCTGATTAGCGTATGAAGCACACAGGCATCCCACTGCTCTTCTTTTATTAGATAAACTTCCTTCTTTTTGTCAGAGGAAAGTTACAGAAGCTCAATCCTGGATCTAAATTAAAGTATCTCCATTTGGTCAATGATTCTAAGACTGAGATCCTCCTTCCCTTTATGATCACAGCTGGCATGGAAGAGAGATGTAAAGCTGCTCCCCTCATGCCACTCCCTGCGCAACACCAGCTGAAGGGACTCTGTTCTCCTTTCTTTCCAGCCTACCTGACCACTGGCTTCTGAGCCAGCTAAGTGGATGGGAGAAATGTTCTCCCCTATATCCTCCCTCAAAGATCCCTGTGTCATGTGCTATGTATATGTATACATGCACATGTACTTGTGAGCCTTCAAGAGAAACCAGATGTGGCCCATTCAATGGAAAAGGTTGCACTCACTAGCATATATGGGTTGCAATAAATCTGGTTCAGGCTCCATTTGATAACTCCTGCTTTTAACTTGCCTGCTTTTTTGTGAATCATGTGATCTGGAACCACTTAAGCCAAAAGAAAATATCTGAGTTTGTGTGCCAGTGCTAGAGAACCAAAGACTTGAGAAGGAGTCCCATCAGAGACGTTTGATATCCTGACACTGAGTAGGAAACTGATAAAAAGCGGGACTTACTTTGCAGAGCCACCACTCTCGGATTTAGTCCACCTGAGAAGAGATGAAATAGCCTTTAGCTACTTTCCACAGAAATTGCAGCAACAAGTGAATATACCACCAGATTGCTAAGGTAAGTTTTTAACTACGAAAAAATATTCAGTGCCCTGGGAGAGTCCAAAGATAACATCTTGGGTTAGTGGTTGTACCCCTGACCTCTTTCATCTGTCCAAAAAAGTTAAAACAGCCACTTATGCTATTTTATTCCACATTATATTTGAAATTTCTCTGGTATTCCTTACTTTTTCAAAAGAAAAAAAAAGAAAAAAAAGAAATCTGCTCCTTTGAAAATATTAAGACCTAACCCTCAGAAACAGTGAGATAATAACACACTGGAAAAATTACTCTGAAATTCAAGAACATGATGCTTCTACGGGACCTTAACTGACCACAAAACAGGTCTCATAAAGTACAATGAACAACAGTCTAATATTCGCAATCCATCTCAGTCACAGGCTTGCCCAAAAGGCCTGTGCCAATAAAGGCCAATAAACCAGGTGAGGTTTTATCTGAAATGGATCCTTCACTACTGTGCAAAGTAATGAAGTGAAAACATTTAACAAAGTTCACATTGTCATCTTGGTTCTCTGTTGATAATATCATTATTTATAAAAGAGGGATCAAGTGTGTGAGAAATCTGCAAACTTCAACTCCTGTTGACAAAATCTTGTGTTCTTGTTTAGGCATATTTCTTAAAGCAATTCATTTGGAGATGAAAGAAATCTGGCAGCAGCATCACAAGAGAACAGAAGTTTAATTTCTGCTCTTATGAGGATGCTGGAATATGCAAGGAAGTCTTTCTCACAATTGCAGCAAAGGAATGAAGGGTTCTGGCATTAGTTCATTTCTTGTTATTCACCATTCTAATTTTCTCCATTCCCACCAGTGCTTTACATAATGATGTATGTTTGAATCTCTCCCATATTTCAGTTTGTCACATACAAGCTATAGCTTATCAAGAAGGATATCATCAGAAATTTCTAGAAACTTGTTCTTAGTCTCTAGAACAGGGATAAACTGGAAATTATCTGATTTTTGAGATTGGCACAACAGCCACTTTGAAAGCTTTAATTAAAAGATAAAACTAAAGCTCTTCAAATAAATAAAATACAAATTCAAATATGGAATAGAAAGGAGATAGACAACATTTTTCTAGGTACTTTCTCTCTTTGGACTCATACATGAAACAGGAAGTCATTTTTTTCACATACACATATATGCATAAAGTTTGGTTTCCTGTGAAGACAGACCAATAGCAAGCACACTTACTTTCTCTCCTGTGGGTCTACATCACAAAAAGTAACAGTGTTGATGGGGTAATGTCGTCTGAAGAATAACCTGAAACAGAAACAAGAATAAGAGTCAAGGACTCAACACTATATTGAATGGTGAAATAGTGGTGCATGAATGAAAATGATTCCATCCATATAGATAGCCAGACTATCCCATGAAGGGGGTGATAGATCATCTGTATCATCCTGACACATGTTAACATTTTACTACATAAATCCACAGGTGATGTTAAAACTGATAATCTCTGGAGACTGCATCAGCAACATTCAAAAGCCGATTGAACATCTTTTAGTAGAGACTAATTCAATGAGATACCCTGAACCTGAGAATAGGTGAAGTGCAGGTCCTCACCAGGATGGTCACTAGAACAACACCCCCAGAGAAAGCCCAAAAGTTCAGGAGGCTGTATTGATCTAAAACCATTCCTATCTACCAAAGTATTTGGGAAAGCCATTCCCAAATACTTTGAGTTACAACAGAAATGTCTCAGAATAACACCTAATGAATTAAAATAATCAATCTCTGCTCTGGTTACTATAAGGCTTGGAGCTAAACAGGAAACAGGAAGCAGGGGAATCAAAAGGCAAATTCTGTTATATTCCCTACTAATCAAAAGTCCCAGGTATCTGCTCCATTAAGCCACCCTGTAGAAATTTCTCAGCGATAGATAATGATTTGGAACATTTCCAAGCCTACATTTTGTCCTGAGGTCAGATCATTCTTTGTTCTTATTGGAAATGGGAAGAATATTTGAATACTCTTAATCCCCCCATCCTCAAAAAGATCCACTTCCCAATGTTGAGTAATAAAGCAAGAAAAGGACCTTTCAAGCTATGGCCTAAAAATCCTTGACTTTCTGCCACCATACCCTCTCAATGTCATGTGAGGTGTGTGACATGAACCAACTGAAGATCCTAAAATGCTACAGCCTTCAGATTGTTGGCTGCCTCCCTCCACTTCTTTCTGTCATGTGGGTGAGAAAGTGGGTAAATACCCTGAGGATCCTGAAAGGCTACTGCCTCCAGATATCTTCCCACCCTACATTAATGTCACAGAGTAGCAGGCCAGAAGTAACTCCCCGACCTCTCCATCCAAGCGGGTCACCCTGCAAGACATTTGTTCAAAAACCTCAACAGTTTTTGAAGATGTCTGGTAGCAGGGAGAAAAATGTTTATTTGTTTTCCCTTTGGGGGTGGTGAACAACTTAACAAAACACATAGTTCTTACTTCCTCTGGTTGTCTGTTAAGGTAATTCCTTGCGTTGAGACTTTGAAATGAACAATAGTAGCGGAAGGTGGGGTATCGACGGCCAGTGTCTCAGTGATAGCTTTGGCGATGGCCTGTGGTCCTGTTAAGGATTCCATCTCCACTGAGTTAATGAAGAGCACATTGCAGGCTGGAAAAGAAGGGGCAGACAGTGACTGGGATGCAGGGAAGATACAAACATGGATGGCAACCTGCTGCTGCTTGCATGGTGAGAAGGTTAATGCACACATGTGTAGTTTATTTGCTTCCTAGTAATAAAGAGTCTACTATCTTAACTGCAAACCACTACAAAGAATTTGCATTGGAATCTGTCTTTCTCTTTGACAACAAATCAACAACAGAGTTGCTTTTTTCATCAGTTAACATGTTGTCGTCTGTCACTTCCATGTCTAACCAGATGGTGGAATCTGTATACTTAGATATCTAGGAGGATGAATGTGCTAAATCAATATAAAGTAGTTACTTCCGTTTATACATCTTATAGATACTGATTATCTGTAATGCTAAAGTTGCAATCCTAAACAATGGGACACAGCAGCAAGTTTGTAGGATTGCATACAATCAACTTTACCAACTCATCCCTCTATTATGCATAGATCATTCATAAATAGCACACACACTGGTGTCTTATTGTTTGCAACAGGGGTGGAAAACTGCCAAAGGTCTGTACTCCAACAGACCTTGGAATAGTCACCCCTTGCCACTCCTCTCCATTTTTTTTCCTGAAAGAGGAATCTTGTTTACATGGGGCAAAGGACAATGTCACTATGCCTCCCCCAAGCTATTTTAGAATAGAAGGATTTGTTTTTTTCAAAACAGGAAATCATTGGGATCACTTCTAGTCTAGGAGCGGGGTCAGGTTCCCTATACCCATATGATTCACCTGTGGAGGTGAGAAAGCACAGTGAAATTACCCTGATGCCCTCAATATGAAGAGTGTAAGAAATAAATATAAAATAAAATATGGGACTGTGAGGGAGTATCAGGGGATACATGAAATCCATGAGTCAGCAACATCTAGTCCATCCTGGCATGTAATATTTATTCTAATTCCTTCCCTTCTTGGGTCTGCAGAAAGAAATAAGCCAATGACAACCCTTATTCTAATTTATCCTTTTCAAGCAAACTAACTGTTCAGGTTGCTGAAGGTTTTTTCGGGCTATATGGCCATGTTCAGGTATATACAAATCTAAATTTTGACTACTGAGGTACAAGTACATCTAAAAACCTAGCACATTTATTATATGGGCGGAAATATGGAACCTGGTAAAATGGAAAGATATGGATAACATGCAAAATAAGTAATAATGTGTAGGCCTGACCTGACCCCCCTCTCTCCCAAAAAAAAGCCACTGGGAAGAACTCACCCAATCAAGGATTTCCTCTTTCCTGGGCTGGCTTTGTTTTTGAATTTAAATTGCTTTCTCCTTACTCTTGTAATTGCTTCTGTAAACATTTGCAAACTGATCCTTCCCTCATTATTTTAAAATCTCAGTTAAAAATAGTCTTATTTTTCAAAGCTTTTGAAATTATAGCTAAATATTGTTTTTAATCCTGTATATTTTATTTATATAATCTTATGCTATATTATAGTATTTTTATTTTATCTTAATAATTTAACAATAACAGCAGTTTTAGTTTTTCTTTCTCTTCCTCTGTGTGTCTGTGTCTGTGTAGAACGTACTTCCAAATAGTGGTGCACAAATTCAAAGTCTATTTTTTGTGTCTTATCACACTAGAGCAGGGGTCCTCAAACTTTTTAAACAGAGGGCCAGGTCAGACTCCCTCAAACTGTTGGAGGGACAGATTATTATTTTAAAAAAAAACATGAATGAATTCTTATGCACACTGCACATATCTTATTTGTAGTGCAAAAAAATACTTTAAAACAATACAATAATTAAAAATGAAGAACAATTTTAAAAAAATATAAACTTATTAGTATTTCAATGGAAAGTGTGGGCCTGCTTTTGGCTGATGAGATAGGATTGTTGTTGTTGTTGTTGTTGTGTGCTTTCAAGTCATTTCAGACTTAGGTTGGCCCTGAATGAGGGCTGGTTAATGACCTTGGGGGCCCCATCTGGCCTCTGGGCCTTAGTTTGAGGACCCCTGCACTAGAGAATGGATCCACTTTAAATCCAGTTTCTGCCTCCTGCAGAATTCTGGGGTTTGTAGTTTAGGAAGGAGCCTTTTACCTGGATTTAAAGTGGATTTTTTCTCTAGTGTCAATAATCTTCCTTTCCACTCCAGACACTCACCTGCTCCCTGCTTGAGCAAGTCAGTTGCTGAATTGCTTGATGAGGTTGTCTCTTTTGTTTCATCCATGGGATCTTTAAAAAGAAAACATAAACAAAATCAGAGGTAACAGATAAGAGGGCTAGTCTGGCTCATTAACACTTATTTGTGCCATTTTTTGTATACCAAAACCAAATAGTTAATATAGGTTAACAAGAATATAGGTTTACTTTTCTGTGCCAAGCATTTGAAATACATTTCAATATATTGGACATGTTATTCTTATCTCAGCATTTCGACAAATAGCATCATTAGGTAATACCTATAACAGGTTTACTATATTAGAACAGGAAGGATTATTTTTACTCATATAATGCAGGAAAAATGACAATATTTTCTTCACCTACCTGCCTCTCAAGGGATAGATAGACAGGCAGATAGACAGGCAGATATACATAAAGACAGTACTTGCTCTCTTAAGAAATACATGCTGTTATGCATCCAGCTTTCCATGAGACCCATAACAAGCAAAATGCATTAGATTTCTAGTAAGGTGTCACATGCCCAACTCCCTGTTATACGTGAGGATGCTGTTGCCATTTCCCACATCTAATTCATGTTTATACATCCTTCTGTCTTTCTGAATTAAGGTCCAGTCAAGGAGTGCGATGGTTTTTAACTTTGAATATGTTTTGATGGATTTTAACACTAAATTTTTCAGTGCTATTTGTGTGTAATTCTGTTTTAATGTTTGAGTATTTGTATATTTTAAATTGTATACTAATGGTTTTATGTCAAGCTGCTTTGAGTCCTCTTTGGGGAGATAAAGCAAGGTAATAATAATAATAATAATAATAATAATAATAATAATAATAATGGCATCAATAATTTCAAACCTGAATCTTATCACTACAGATGTAGTGATAAGATGTAAATATTCTCTTGTTATTTTCTCATGTATAAAAATGAAAAATTCCAAAAACATTTTTTATCACATGGCTTTCTGTGAAAACATCACTTAAACCAACCCCTGCATTTTGTGCAATGAGATGTTTCTGCACAAAACATTGTATTTTGTACAAATGTAACATTTGGGGTCAAATATAGTTTATGCTAATGAAAACGCTGTCTCAAAATCCTGAAATGGGAAAAATCATTTCAAAAACTACATAAAATATATCTCAGAACTTCCTTTCTGGACAATGACAAAAAAAAGATACCAATGTTATTTATAGCCTTAATTGTTACATACATTGAACCCTAAAACTCAAGATCAAGCTAATTTGAACAGTTCCAAAGCTTCTAATGGTGTCATGTTGACCAAAGCAGGAATTTGTAAGGTGACTTCTCCAATCAGAGATGCTGAACTCACCCAAGTGCATATGTCCAAACATGCAAACACATGCACATCTTGCAGATGAATATTCTATGGTGATATTTTCTGTACCCTGCATTTCACCCTACTCACATGACTTGATGCTAGTGCCTTTACCTCGGTCAGGAATGACCAGCTTGCAGGGCAAAGCCAGAGGCATAATGGAGTGCTGGTAAACCAGGGCAGATAGGCAACCTGTGTAAAGGATAGTGAAAATAGTCAAAGATGTTTTGATATTGATGTCACTCACACCCTCCTATTGAACACGATTATGATGCTATGCTGCTTATACACTCCTTATTGAACTCTGGATAGGTCATATGAATAAGGAGCATAAACATAAATGGAACAAGCACTAAGACTAATTACCCAGGACCATCATGCATTTCTAGGAAATATATTATTCAGAGCTGTTTCTGAATAATGTATCTGAGTTTGGCGCATTTCAGGGCTGTCAGTTCTGTTGCTCATGACACCTAGCCTTTTTAAAAGGCCTTAAACTTTTAGGTTTATTTAGTTGGAAAAAAATTACTCCTCTAAATGGAACGATGTGTAAAAACAATTACTTAACTGGGAATTACAGACTTCTGACATTTCAGTACCACTTAGGGGTAGTAAAGCAACAGCGTTGATGTCTCCCGTAGCTATCCGTAGCATAATGTTTCAGATCGAAAATGTACTGCCAAAATCACTTGTCACACTTTAAACACTTTTTCACTTTCATAGTGAAAATGTTCATAAATGTTATTTCACTTTCCATTGATTCCTCAAAAAAGCATGAAAACAAGTGGTAAGATGAAGGAAGGCTGCACTCATAGAAGTGAAAGCTATGCATGTGAGATGAAGAGATTAAAAGACCTTGAGCACACATACAATAAATAATCATCTGAAGCAATGGAGCAAAAGGGAGTGGTAAAAACATTATATAATTCCGGAGAACCATAGCCACATCCAATTCTGTTTGTGAAGTTTTTTTTTCACTAACCATTTGAACAAATGGGCACTAAGCAATAAAGCTTTCATAGAAAAATACTTGAAATACACGTGTTTTCACTTAATATTACAAATCCTGTTCCCTAAACTACAGAATAGTCACAGTGCCATTTTTAAACACAGCCTCCACCAGAGGGCAGGATGAGACAGCATCTAGAGGACAAAACATGCGTGCTTACCAAAATTTGGCTCATTGGGGCATCCTTTTAGCTTCACACCTTTAGGGCTGGTTTCTATCAGGAAGTGCCTAACAAGCTCATTGGCGAGATCTCCTGTAGGAGATAAAGCAAACAGAGTATAACTACGTCTCCTAAGGTTTATTTATCTGGTTAAGATATAGAACATGGATTGCAATAAATCCATTCTTCGGTGTCCTCCAATATGAGACAAAGGGATATAACAATAACTGATATAAATCACAGCCCTCAAGCCACAGGTACATATTTCTTGTCAGTACAAAATATATCTAGTTTAGAAGCAAACATGATGACCATGCGGAGAAGACTGGGAAGCCAATCTCTCCCCCCCCCCCCCAATTCTTACCCTTTTCTTCTCTTTCTTTAAATTTTCCCCACACGTCTCCCCTCCCCCAGTTTTTTTGGTCCTCCCTCCCCACTTTTCCTTCCCAGTTATATCCTGATTCCTCCCAGCAATACCCCTTATATTTTTTATCTGTATTCTGAAAAAATCTTAATAAAATGTTTTTTTTAAAAAAAAGAAACAAACATCTGATCTGGAAGATCCATAATCCTCTCCATACACAAACATGTGCCAAGGGCTAGTCCCATATTTCTGCTCCCTGCTTACAATTCCTTCTATCTTGTAGAAGGAGCACCAGCCAATGGTTCGTGGGCTAGCATTATTCCAAGGACCACAACTTTGAGTAACGTTGCAGTAAGTTAAAGAAGAGGTCTATAGATGACATTTCCTTTTTCAGAATTGTGGGTGAGATTATGGGATAAAGTTATATATTCTCTAGAGGTAGTAATATTCAAAATGATTAAGAACTGGGCTTAGTCCTCTTTTTTGTGAAAATGTAACATGTTAACTAAAATGTTTCCATTTTTGAATGACTCGTCACTGGAGAAATGAGTAGTACCAAATTTGGCTCATTAGTCATCCTTTCAGTGTGCAGATACTGAATTTCGTGTGGATGCATACTTCCTAAAGCAAAAGGGAAGGGATCAGGCACCCCCCAGAGTTCACAAGACCCTCCCTTCCTTTCCTTCCTTGACAGAGCAGCAGGAGGTGAACTGTCCAATGAGGCACAATCAACTACCTTTTCTCCTCTTCCTTAGCTTCCACCCATAACACACAACTTTGCAACAAAGCTGGGGCTGACCAGAGAGAATTTTGCTGCTGCTATTACAGGAGAGGACACATGGCTATTAATCAAAGCATGTGCCAGTTATAGGGAGATAATTCATTTTTTTTCTTTATTTGTGGGTTGTTGTAGGTTCTTCGGGCCATATGGCCATGCTCTAGAAGCATTCTTTCCTGATGTTTCACCTGTATCTATGGTGGGCATCCTCAGAGGTTGTGAGGTCTGCTGTACCTTTTCATTGGTTTTCTGTCCCAAGAAATTGCTCACAAAATATGAGAAATTTTAGCAACTGATTCAGTCTGAACTGGTTATATGACTCTATTGTATGAGAGCTAAGGAAAGATGGAGCTGATTGGGATAATGGATGGAAAGGAGCCTCTTAAGACTACCAAAAAAGACCGTACCCTTTTTGCTCTGCTGCACAACACCAGGAGGCGGAGAAGCCACTTTCATGGCCAATCCATAGGCTCCTCTGAAGGAGTGGCTGTCTCGGATGATGAAGGCTCCAGGTTCCTTGTCTTTCAGCAATGCAATGGCTGGGGATGGGAAGAAAAGCATCATCACCATCATCAACATCTTCATTTATATATCTTTGCCTCCAAAATGAGATTCAGGACAGCTTACAAAAAGTTTAAAAATGCTGATAAAACCAAAGACATGAGCGAAAACACATCAAACATTATTTAAAATACAATTAGGTTATACACAAAATTAAAACCATTTAAAATAAACTCACTAAAAAGACATGTGATATAACACACTATTAAAAGTCCTTGCAGTAAGTTCCTAAAAACGTGTTGGGGATTTTAAAAAAACCCTTTCACTCACTGGCCAAAAGGATAGTCCTATTATTCTTGACTGCAATTACTGATTGGATCTATGTGTTCAATTTCAAATCATCTCATTACACACATATTTATTAAGAAGATTATCTGTCCTCCCATTCCTGTTACTCACTTATAAATAGTGGGTGGAAGAAGCCTAGAGGGACAGACTCAGCTTGTTGGTTCCTGTTTCAGTGAATGCTGAAACTGCTCTTGGTTTTAGTCTGAACTTTAAGGGAGTGATCTAGGATACAGATTTTTTTTTGTAGGACAAAGTTCAGCACCTTGGAGAGTGCCCTTAAAGTTCAGTGTAAGCAATGAAACATATTCAAAGCCCCAGTGATATGGAAGCCATGAAATGCTAACAGTTAAAATGTCACACACACAAAAAGATAGCAGCAGCTGGACCCACTGGATGGAGAAGAAGGGAATACAACATATTCACAACACCATGAGCATGGGAGAAAGAAAGAAAAAATATCTCCGCCTGGCCCATTCTTATCCTCCCCACCTTCCCTGGCTTTTAACAGATTCATTTTAACAGATTCATTTTCATTCATTTTCAATGTGAATTTCTTTTGTATGACTTAATTGAGGCAAGCATGGAACTGCAGGAGTGGCATGAATGTCCTTCTCCCAGAGAATCCGGGTCTGAATCAGGGCCAACAGCCATTCAGTAACAAGTCACTTTACCCTTGCAAGGGGAGAGATCAAGGAAATGAAGGGACATGTACTTGGATTAAGGACGGATCTGCAGCCTAGGGCTGCCAAGTGCCTCAGCTGTTGAATGGGTGAGGGAAATGCTGTTGACAGAGACATAAACAAAGTCTTTTAAAGGGGTTGATCACGACTATCTGAAAAGTAGCTTCACATCACTGAAAGCAAAGCTGAGAACCTGTGAGAGTGCCCTTTTTAGACCACAACTTCCAGAATCTCCTTGCCAGAGGCCATGCTGGCTGAGAAAATCAGTAAGCTGTGAGCCAGAAAATAACTTTTCCAAACTCAATTTTATTTTATTTATTTATAATTATTTATCATCTTTCTCCCAATGTAGGACTGAAGATGGTTTAGAATAAAAGGTAAAGCAGAACATAGTTAAAGCATGGGCAAATACAAATGTTAAAACATTAAATGAATATCCAAATCATTAGTTTGCAATAATTTAAAATGCTATGCTATGCTGATGCTATGCTAGTGTAAAATAATATCTTTTAACATTTTATTTTAATTAACAGTATTAATATTTTTTTAAGTTTTATGATGAGAAACACTTTAAAATTGAATTCTGTGAACTACCTGGGGGAAGCTTCTTTGTTAGAGTCCAATATAGAAATATTCTAAGTAAAGTAACAGTTGGGAAAAGGAAATTATTTGTGAACTTAGGAGAGAAAATCATTCATTAAACACAACTTGCATTGCCATTGTCATAGAAATGAAGTTGAAAGGAATTTCTCCTCATGTCCATTCTAGGTCAGTGGTACACTTTAAGTGTTTGGGGGGCAGGGGGTGTATGTGAAAAATAATGTCTATGAGATAATCTTATACCACAGAGTGATAATGGGTCTGTGTGTGTGAAGCATGTGGAGGAGCTTTGAAAGGAGAGAGACAATCCACACGTTTTAAACCAGTGCTCTTCAAAGAAGTGGTCAATTGAGCAGCGCAAGCTATTTTCTCCCAATCCATGATGACTTCCTGAAAAAGAAAGCAACACTTGGGAGTCGGTGGACACAAATAAGATGCCAGTCCTGGCACATTTGGAAAACATCCTTCTGATCCCCTCATCAGAAAAATAAGAAGCACTGTTTAAACAACAACAAGTAGAAAACACACTTGCTCGCCATTCTGGGTCCCTCTACAATAGATTGATTCAATTTGTGTTCATTCACTGAAAGCTGCCATACTCCCAAAATCAGATCCTGATGCCTTTGAAACTGGAGAATAACCTTACAGTTTGGCCTTAATTTGAGGGATGCAAAGGGTACAAAATAACTTTCCATTCTTGAGTAGAGGGTAGTATCAACTAGTAGTTTTGGAAATGTCCATCACAACTTAAAATAGCTGTTAGATATAACTGGCCACTGAGAGACTTTGCATAGTGATGTACATATAAAAGGATATATTATTCAAAGGATTAAGAAGCTTAATTGCCCTCTATTTTTAATACTGTCAAACTGGCTGAGGTTCAAAGGTGTGAAACTAAGAAAGTTATGCTTTAAGAATACCAGTGCTATGATGAAATGGTTGAAGGAATCTGGACTGTTTAGTCTACAGACTGAAGGGATTGTGAGGTAAGGACAAGAGGACTGTTTCCCAAAGTAGGGAAATATCTATGAATATGAAAATGTCTAGGAAGCTAAAGAAAAAAGGGGCATAGGGCACTCTTTCCCAAACCACAGATGTGGCTGGATTAGATTCATTGCCTCACCCAACATGTTCCATTGTCAAAGGTGGTGCAAATCAAACTCCAATGAATTCTGGGGTGACAGGTTTGTGAAATCCTGGTCTAGAGAATTTGATTAAGACCTAATTTAAATTCTGTACTACATTTCCTGATATATTACAACAATGTATCTGCAACAATGTATCTGCAAACCCACCTTGTTCCCGGGAAATCTCTGGCTTGTACCAATACTTGGAAGTATCTTGGACAAACTTCACGTTAGCTCTGGTCTCAGGACTACTGTCTAAGAAACAGAAGAAAAGAAGGAAACAGAAAATGAAGCAGGGTGTGTGTGAGAGAGAGGATGTGCCAAGGGAAAAAAAGAGGATAGTCCCATCAATTGTTCTTTCTGACCGAGCCCACTTGCCGACATATGGCCCTTAGGTAACTAATCCTTAGGGAATGTGGCCCTCAAAGAAAACAAAATCCCCCTCCCCCTTCATTTCAAGTAACGTAAGGTAACAAACCTGTGTTGGTTTGATTAATGTGCAGATGGAAATCTAGGAATCCTATGTATGCTTAGAAAGCATGATGGAAGACAAGTTAAATAAAAACACCAAGGGGAAAAAACTTGCATTTTTGTGAAGAGATTCCTGAATTAACTAATATGTTCTTTCAAAAATAGGAACATTAAGGTGTGACCATAGTTGACCAAGCAAATGAGAATCAACTTTAAGGATTCTATTTAAAAAGAGGAAAACAGCGCACCTGTCAGGAGTAACTGACTAGTAATGGTCCAAGAGTTGTTGCTAAACTAGATTACTTTTTAAGATTTCTGGAGTACCACTTAAATCTCCCTTTATTGAATTCTATTATTTCATGATGTGATGTTCTGAAACCATGGCTACACAGTAACAAGATACCAGTGAGAGGAATAATGTTTGTATCCAGCCATATCTATATAATTATGGGAAAATGAGGCAGGAAGAGCCCAGAGGAGACATCACCAAACATATGAAGAAATCTGATGACTTCAGGGAAATATTTCATGGTGATCTAAGAACCATCTATCGAGCTTACAACATCCATCTATTGCTCCCTTCCCCTATCTGAGTGGTACACAGGAAGAAGTGAGGTTTTACCTAGCATTGAGAACTTGGAGAAATCCGGCAGAGTCTGATGAAAAGCCATGCCACTACCACTGCTGGGACTGGACATGCCACTGGAGATGGGTGATGAGGTTTTGCCATTTACTGTGGCATAGTTGGGCAGGCTGTTTGAACGATCTCCTGATGACATCCTTCTCTTCTCTGGAAGCTGTGGTTGGGGTGGGGTGGGGCTCCCCTGTCTGTAAATGGCCGAGTCAGGGGAAGATGAATGTGGACTGCTTACTCCATGGTAGTAGGCCGGGGAGACAGGAAAAGATGGGGTAGAGGGAGCTTGGTAGCCTCCAGCACTGCTTTGGCGGGACAGTGCCGGGCGCTTCTCCTCAGGAGTTGAGTATCCATAGATGACATGCCGATCCAAGCTGGGACTACCAGAAACTACAGATGTACCTCCTCCCATTACAGGCTGGTGCCGAACAAGGTTTGGGCTCCCAGGTGCTGCAACAAGGTTGCCATGTGGACCCATTAAGTGCCTACTCATACTTGGGCTTCCTGGTGTTCCCACCATGTTGGTGGTGACAGCTCTCCGCCCAAAACCTGGGCTAGGGGGGGTATTGGTGGCTACTGTTCTGTGGAGGGAATGGGGGCTTCCAGGCATGACATGGACCCCAACTGCACTGACTTGAGGCTGAGGCCTCTCTACTTGAGCACTGACTCGGCCATCAGGGAAATCAGAACTCATATAGCTTGGGAGCCCCTGAGTTGATGTTGATGTGTTTTGGTAGCTGCTGTGTGCCGAGGGCACCTGAGAAATATTGCTGGACTGGAAGCTGGAGTTAGCAGAGGGTTGGGAGGGTATGGCTATACTGGTGCTGTTCTCCGAAGGGTAGCTGTTTATCGAGACACTGGTGGAAGCAAAGGAAGAGATCAGAGATCATTAGAGGCCATCTGGCGAAACAACACATTTCTTCTTCAAAGTACTAGTGCTCCAAATAACATTATGGCTGAGCTTGACAACTTATAGCTCTCATTCTAATTTCAGAAGCCTGTGATCAGTTCAGGCTTCTTTTTCCCCCTCTCAAACCTTCCTTAGATCAAATGGTTCCCATACCCATACTTGTAACTATTATATTCATTCAAATAAATGGCAAGATACTTATTTGTTCTTAGGGATTTTGATTTCCTTTCTCCTAAGTAACTCTTGAATCATTTCCTAAGATGGTTGACATTTTGGCTTTGTTTTAAAATTTCAGTTAAAGATATCATCACATGACTCTATCAATACAAATATTTTGGAGGAGAAACTATTTCACAATAAACTCAGAATGTGACCTTTGAGTGTGGACAAATGCTAACAGGTCGATGACAGTTTACCTTAAAAAATAATAGCCATTAAAGGACACATTCTGAGAGAAAATAAGAGAACAGTATATTTATACTTAAATTTGCCCTGTCTTACCCATCTGTGCTGTGCATAGGGCTGCTGGAAGCAACAGGGCTTGGTGCGGTGAAGGAGTTGGTGAAAGATCCATTCCTTTCTGGGGTCTCAATGTTGTAGGTCTGCAGAGCTGGGGTTGACGGAGATTTCCCAACTGTGTGGCTTCCACTGCCACCATAGCCACCACCAGCTGCTGTACGGGCCACGGATTCAACATAGCTCCGGGGCTCTGAATTGAAAATGGGAAAAAACATAAGAGAAAATGATGTAAATAATAAAATCCATAAAAGTCACACCTGCAAAAGTGGAGGGCTGAGTGTAGTAAGATTATGATCCAAAAGTCTTGAACTAAAAAAGTTTAGATTTTTTTGTCTAAAAAAGACCAGTATTAGCATCACCCTGGCCACCAATGGGATGGTATTCCATAAACGGGATGCCACAACAGAGAAGGCTCTCTCCCATGGCCCTGTGTGACATACTGTTCCCATCATGTAATCCTGTTCAAGGAAGAATTAGCTGCAGAGATTCAGATACATCTGAAAAAATGCAGCCCCAGCTGCTCAAATGGTTGCCCAGCACGGCTGTTCTTTATGTTCCCACAGGTGGACCAGGCTATACATCTTACCTTCCAAGGGATTGTGAAGTGATTCTTGTGTATGACTGCTCACATATATTGCATACAGATGAATCTGCCCGGATTCTAACAGATGCTTATGCTACAAACACAATCTTTCTCCCTGGCATCTATCACTAACTTTGGTGAAGGCAGTCCTTCCGTTTCTTCTGGGAATTTGTTTTACCACCAGGATTATCTCATGGTTTCAGCAACAACAACAAAGAAATCTGGAATTTTAATTTCAATCTGTTCCCATACAATTTCAGAGCATTTCCTCTTATACTAGCCACAATAACCACAAAGATCATACATGCACACAGACACACAAATACAGACAGGATGAGTGAGGGGGCAGTTTTTTTAAAAAAAATGTGAATGGTCTTCCTTCACCCTCTTTTCCCCCTTCTTAATACTAAACTTTATATGAGCAGAACCCAGAAGCATTCCAAATCCTTCAGCAAATTTGCTTAACAAGATGCATGAAGTTCTATCATATGATGTAGAAAGCAGAGGCAACAGAAGAGCTCCCAAATTTTCTACTGATCTCTTGCTGTAATGTAAAAGAATATTAGGCGCAAGATATTCCCACAGAAACAGTAGCCATATTTTGCTGGTTTTGGAGTGGCAATAGAATCACAATAGGGCATCTACTATCCTCCTTTAGGGCATGCTCCATAAAGTGATAAAGATTCATCTTTACTATAGAGATTTTAAACTGATGGCCACCTTTTGTGATGGATTCCTACACTGGCAGAGCGTTAGATTCCTTTGTAAATTCACAAGCAAACTAAATTTAAAAAATCAATTAACAAATCCTTCTTCCAACCCTTCCTAAAATATAATGTTGGAATGCACCATTTTAGAAAATCCTTGGAAAGGTTAGGTGGATTTAAAAAAAAAAAGTTTAGTGACTCCTGGACATTTGCTGGGGGGGGGGGGGGCTTTACAAAAATGTGTGCAATAGAAGTTTGAGAATTCTTTTAGCATTGCTGAGTTGGAAACCAGTTAAATACGAGGCAGTTTGTGAAGATGAAGTAGGATTTCAGAGCTGGCAAGATAGATCTGGTGAGTAAGCCTTATCCTGTTATGTCCAAAGTTGTTTTTGCCAATGAACCCAGCCCACCAAGGCAGGAGGGGCAGGAAGGATAGAACTGTTGATCAACAAGGCTGGTCTGCCCTCTTCATTCTGAACATTCCAGGAGGCAACCGTCTTGGCCAAACCAAGGGAGGCCATGAAGACTTGACTGGCGTGGTGCTAGGTTAAAGCACAGCCTCAGGAGACTTTCAACTTTCATAATAAGCTATTAAAGTAATTACCTCTTTTATAACTGCACATTTCCTGCTCCCTTCCATATCTAAAAATAGTAGGGCTCTGTGTCCAGCTTGTGAGAGGCTAATAAGAGATTGCCACAAAAGCCAAAACTGAAGGGGGATAGAAAAGAATAGTTCTCTTTAACAAAAAGCCAGGAGGTTCTGACAGCAAGACGACAAAAACAAGGCCATGAGGCAGAAGAGAGTCAAGCTGATGGACCACACTTCCTTTGCTCCTTAATCACATTTTAAAATATAAAGGGGAGACTTTTTTCTGATGTTTTCCAGTTGAATGTGCAAAACACACATAAGTACTACACAGAACAAGATAATTTGCTGTTGGAGCTCATGTGAAAATTACTGGGTAACGTTCCAGGTTCTGTGCTGCATCCAAAGATATCTCAAAATAGCCACACAATGTTGATGTTAAGCAAGAGAACAGTTTGTTGTGGGGTAGAGAATAACTAAGAGAGACAGTTTGGTGAAGACACATATCTGTGATGTTTGGCTAACACCAAACAACAATTTCAAGTTATGCTTTTGTCTTGCCCTATATTTCCGTATCCTTCTAGCTGGGAAATAGAAAAATGCATGCTTAATTTTTTATTCATCTAAAATAATGCTAGAGCCTCGAAAATTTACCTTTTTGCATCCAGAATCTCCAGAATCCCTCAGAATTAGTCATGCTGGCTAGGGGATCTTGGGACATACACTCTAAACCCATAACGTTTCAAAGCTCTCAATATTTCTTAAATGCAAGGGATATCCTCAAAATATCACGTACACTAGCACAATTTCGGCAGATCATCACAAGACTATTAATGCTAAAAGAAGGAATAATTCAAGGAAAGTCATGGAACCCAGTGACAAATTATATTCTAATTGTTCCTATATGTGGGAGATACATATATAGATTTCTCATCTGCCTCCACTCACTGGTACATGGAAAGGTCAACTCTTGTGAGTACTTGGATGGAAGACCACCAACAAATACCAGGTGCTGTAGGCTATATTTCAGAGGGAGGAACTGACAAAACTACTCTGAGTATTCCTTGCCTAAGAATACCCTATAAAACCCATAGGATAAGTTGATAGGTGACTTGAAGGCACATACACTTACAATGAAAGGTTGTGTGTTCCTCTCACTTCTATTACCTTCTGTGTTCTTAACTACAAATTACTAGTTCTCTTTCTTTTTCAGTGCTAACAATTCAACAAAGCAGAATTAGGATTGACGGCTATTGGCATTAAGCAGAATTGTTTATCCCAAATAATCCAGGAACCCCAATTTGCTAATAAAATATCACAATTTATGAATTCTCGCACCTAAAATAGCTACACTTCCTGGGCCCCAAGGTCAGAAATGCAAGTTCAGGATCACTAAACAATTTTGGAGCAAGGTTACATGCAATAAATTCTCTTCTTGGTTTAAGAAAGCAGCAAGCCAGGAAGCTGTGCTTTCCATTACTTCTAAAAATGTTCTTAAATGATTAACTACCTTTTTAATACTGACAAGTTGAAATGACATATTAACAAGAATTTTCCAGATAGAAAAAGAGTATATCCTAAGGTAAAATTAATACTGGAGGAAAAGGAGAACATGTTACGCCCTTTTAAAGACAAATGACATGATCTGATCAAGAGTGTTGTGATAGGATAAAACACAGAGCAAACAATTCATAAGGTCAGAACTCCATGCCGCTGATTAGCAAAGCTGGACATTTTCCACAAACATTTTGCTTATTTTTTCCAACTTGGAAAGAGATGAACAATGTGTCTTGGGAATGTTTAGAATTCTGCTTTTATTTGCTTGAGATTTCAATCTACAAAATGTAACAGCATTTAAGACACCTAATACTGATTTGTACTCACTAATGATCTCTAGGACCCCAGCTTTGGCCTAAATAGCATTAAAATTTATAACCTCCCTCCCTTGGCTCTGTTCTCAGTCTCACTCCCTTAAGATCAAAGTAACAAGGCTCTTGGGAATTATTACGAATGTAGGATCTCACCCAGTTGGGAGAAATGCCTAAATGCATCCCGGCAGAAGAGAAATTAGATTCCTTACACAAAGATAAGTTATGACATAATCAATAATTCAATTTTCATTTCATTTACAGAATAGAGATGCAGATGTCCCCATGAGAGAATGGAGCACTGAAAACGTCTTCTCTAGTGCCATTGTGATTTGGGGAAAGACATTTTTCAGCATAAAAACCCTTCCCATGGAATGGGTCTATACCGCATCTTTTGCAGCTGCAAAACATACAATTCAGGAGAAAACCACACAGGCCTCAGTGTGTGTAGTCTGGTGCTTGTTTTGAACCTAGGCATAAGAAATCCTTATGCATTACCAACTATTATGGTGCAGTTCCAAAATGATAGCCAAAAGATGAAACCTACAATTATGTAACATACACATGCAACTGGAATCACAGGAGATTCCTATGCGAGTGAATACTCTGCTCACACAAGAGCAAAGCATGGAGAGGGTGTTTGAGTGACCACATTGGATGTCCACACCCTGATCTGTGTCAGTCTTCCCTTGCATTTCTATTTTAAGAGGATGGATCTAAAGGAAGAATCTGTTCATGCTCATTTGATCATGACTAGAAGCCTCTGCAAAACTATGTCCATTTTAAACTGTGCATTTTAAATCTGCATTCTATTAGTATTGTATTTTCATTTTTGTACTATGTATTTTAAGATGCACATTTTGTGGTAATGGATTTTATCTGTGTTGCACCCCACCCTGACCCATGAGGAGAAGTGGGTAACAAATAACACTGGTGATGATAGTGATGTTTATGTAGGATTACATTACACAAGATGGTTGTGAGACTACAGTGCTTCTCTGGGGAATGGTGGTATACATTTACTTGTTACATTGATATCCCACAAACAAACACACACACTAAAACCACTGTACACCAAGAATATTGCGGCACCAGAGCTATGGTTTCCCCCTCCTATTTTGTCGCTAAAACAAGAATATGAAGTTAATTAGGTGAGTAATCGAAGTTTGACTTCGATAAAGAACACAAGATACAGGTCTATATTGTAAAAGGGAAATCATCCACAGTTGTAGAAGAGAATGCCAGTGTAGCAAGAAAGGTTGACAAATATGAGGAAAATGCCAGTGGAAAGCAAGATTGGCTTTACGCATTACCTTTGCAGGGCAGGCATGTATTGTATGCATTGTGATCAGATATCAGTGTGGGTACTACCCACCAGATGATGTTGGAATGGAAAGTATGCTACAAGTATGCTGTGTATCAGGCCCAAGGTGGCAGTCCTAGGAATTTTGGGATTATGCATCACTGAATTAAACAGTTCTTTCTCCCATGGATATGTCCAGAAGGATTGTGCAGCATCTCATACATACAGAGATGGCAATGTTGAAGAAATGATTATAGAAATCTTAAGTAACTAAGACTGAAGGACAGTTTCTACAACTGCCATCTCTCACCCAGGAAAATACATCACAGTACCTCTAAAAATTCAGCTTGGTGGAAATGGAGACTCTCATCCTGTAAAAGAGCAATGCTATTCGAAGTGGCCAGTGTTGACACCTGAGCCATTGCTTGCCAGTTCCTGACAAGTTTCCAGAATATAAAGAAACAATTTTGACTGAAATGAAGATATGCAGTCGCTGGTCTCCGGCTCACTAGGAAGTGATAACTGCTGGTCATCATCTTTTTGCCAATTTCTCTGCCCACATTTATTTACTTAGAGATTAACTCCCATGTACAACTCCTGGGCAATCTGTCATGCGGTAAAATCCAGGGAGAGATACATGATGTCCTTTAGCCTTCTGACCAAATATAGCAAGACACTCAGGTGTACCAGTGGACCACAGGAGTCACAATATTTTAGAGGGTCCAAACAGTTCAAATAAAAGGAAAACATTCCCGCCTTACCTTCATAAGACTCAACTATTGTCTCCTCATCAAGTTCTGAGGAGCAAGCATGGGAAAGGGAAGTGATTGGGGAGAGAAAAAGGAAAGTGGCAAGGAAAACGAAATGGAAGGAAAAGGAAGAAGAGAGAGAGAGATATTCAGATTAAGTGGATTTATCGTAGAAAGTAATTGAAAATGTTAGTAGTTGAGGCTGCTAATCTCAATTATTATACATACAAGCCATATAATCCCCCACACCTGATTAAAAAGGTTCCAAATGTCTGCCAAACAATATTAATAGAAAATAGTAAGTGTGCAAGGTGTGGCTGGAGTGTTATTTGCTCTGGAAAAACAGTGAGCTGCAAAGGTTAATAATTTTAATTTCCAGTCTTTGATTTGGGCATGGAAATAGTAGCAGTGTAAGGTATTTTGATTCCAACCTGACGCTCTTCTAAACCTCTTGGGGAAACGAAAAGTTATTTCCCCAAGAGGTCTAGAAGAGCATCAGGTTGGAACCTGATGCTCTTACAACCTTGTAAAAGCATTGCAAAATTACTTCAACAATTTGAGCAGTGCATTATGGCACAGGGGCGACAATTTGAACACCTTTAAAAAATGCCATTAAAGATGAACTCTGTAATTTTTATTACACCATTATTATATTGTTTATTCTTCAACATAATTTACCCAACCTTAAAAAAATTACATTGGCCTTTAATGTAATTTATGTGGGCTTCAAATAATCACAATAGCATTAGTTAGTACAGTATTAGCTATGAAAGGACACCCTGTATATTCTAAGATGTGAAGCGGAAAGGCAGAGTCTCTATGCTTTGGGGATCTACTTTCTTTTCCCAACTCAGTCCTAAAGGCTATCAATAGGATCCAGATCCAAGTAGTGGCTGAATTGAAGAACAAGGTGCCTTTGAGCACATGTGCCACTTAGGAATTGATTGTCACTACCAGAAGCTCACATACAACTCTTTCATGTGCATATCCACTCATATTTCCATCCAAGACATCCTAATTAAGGAGTAATCACTACAAAACTACTAATTTCAGAAACTCTTTTCCACCTTCTGCAGAACACCTAGAGAGATCTAGTCTTTTGACAACTTTGTTGCAAAGGACAGAACAATTTGCTCTAACATGTGTTGCCCCAAAGATTAAGATATCACCTGCAAAGCCTGATAGAAACCAATCATACAATGCATTAACCAAGGTTTCTAATGAAGAAAGCTATTTCTTACCTTGCAGTCATTTTAATGACTTTATATGGTATTAAGTAATGTAGCAACAGTGACTGATTATACTCATGAAGATAGAACAATCTGAAAAGTACATTTCAGCCTCATTTGGGACTTAGGTTCCTATCTTTTCTAATCTGTCTCATTTTTGACTGCATTAGCAAATGCTTATGCAAGACTGTGTAGCAAGCTTATGTAAACTGACAATGTTGACTTGGCCCCTGAAAACAGTGTTTATGAGTAAATTTCCTTTACTGTGAACCAACCTCTACCATTCAACTGTTGAATTCTATTTCACATCTTTAGCTTGTTTGTTTTAAAAACATTTATATCTCTTATTCTTTTCCTCTGGGAACCCCAGATCGGCTCACAAGCTGCCCTATATATACTCAGATCATCAATCCCAGAGCCTCATGTCATTTTAGTTTAATCAGATTCATCACTAACAGTTCTCTCTGGGAAGAGTTTTACTGAGTGTAAAATGAATATAAGATGATATAGTATATAATCTAACAGACTTTTAAGCAAAGCTAGGCTTGAATAACAACTCAAACCCAGTAAGTAACCTTAGGTAAGATATTCCCTCACAGCTTCTCAGGATCTCCCCAGGTAACAAGATAAAAAGTATTGTTGAGTGGGGCACTCTGGGAGCTATAGAATTAAAAGTAACTTTTCCAAATGCCTAGCTATTATTATACTACTTACTTACTTATTTAACAAAAATAAACTAGATCTATATGCAGTACCTTGAGCACCCAAATGTCCTATAACAGTGTTGGAGAGCTGTAACAATAATGTTTACTATTCTATTTTCATGTATGATTTGGTATGACAACAGAAATGGGGATGTCACCATATAGTGACAAGTATGAGGCCCATAGTTTTGTTCAATTAAAGAACTGATCTAATACTATGACCAGGCATCTGGTATGTAAACCAAGCACCTTTAGCACTGACTTATTAGCCCTTATTTCCCCAAAACATTCCATCTGTAATGTAATGATAATAATCTTCTTTCAGCATTTTTACAAGGGGTACAATCAAATTATATCTCTGAACAGATAAAACACTTTGAACACCATAAAATAGTGCTAACTATTAATATTGAGAATTGAGGTACCATATTTAAAACTTTCCATTATTTCCTCCACACACCCATGAACGCGTTTACAGCAAAGTTATAAAACTGTTCTCTGGGCTGGTCCTGCTGGCCTTCCCATCAAAGACCATTGGTCATTTAAGCAGTTAGTTGTCCTAGAATTAATTCAAGGCTAAATGAGGTTCACATTCAATGGCAAAATTGAAGTTATGTTCCAACTGGATGATCAGGCAACACAACTGGAATGCAATTCAAAGTCTGCAACATTTGGAACCCAAGATGTACAAGCTCACACATGTGAATCTAATTACTATTCTTCAAATATGATCACATGCATAATATTTACTTCCCCCTAGTATCTGTGTTGAAATATAACGAGTGGAAATAATTCACAATGGAACACAGAATTTTGACAAGTTTGGAGCATACATTCGAACACCCAGGTAAGAGCATTTCTGCCCTGTTAGACATGTTATTGGCTATTGGAACTCACTAGCAGATGATTAATAAGAATGATTTGATTGATATACAGTAGGCCCTTGGTATCCACTGGAGTTTGGTTCCAGAACCCCCTATGAATACCAAAATTTAGGAACCCTCGGGTCCCATTATAGATAAGAGGGTAGTGAAATGATAACCCTTATATAAAATGGCAAAATTGGGGTTTGCTTTTAGGAATTTTTTGCAATATTTTCAAGTTGTGGATGGTTCAATCAGTGGATATGAAGGACTAACTGTAGATACAGATATAACTTCACAATCAAAAGCCCTTTCAGATAGACTGAAAATCTGAATATACAGTTTATCTTCAAAACTACTGATCACATTATTGTGTCAGTGAGTGCTTTCCATCTGGGAAATGGGGTATTAAGCTGGAACACAATATAAATCATAATATCAAACAACACCCTCCTGTCCCGCTGTCTTTTCTGCATCCCTTTCACTTACCTCCTGACTGCTGCAACAAGATTTCAGCTGGATTGTGGGGCTTCAGGCCCAGGGCTGAAAGGGGGGTCTTGGCCAGTCCTGGTGGAGAGCGCACTGTTGTCGAAAAGACACATCAAGAAAAATAAATCAGCAAAAATAGAATATGATAAATTAAATGTACAGATCACTAAATTCCAAGTATGCAGCAAGAGCTGCATACGATAGCTAAACTATGTACATGAGTGGGTAGAAATGCTCAGGGCAAATTCCCCACTAAAACAAAAAAAATATATAGCTGCAAAGTATACCCCTCCCCTTTACAGTTAACACCTTTGGCTAAGGAACAGCTTCTGTATCTGGAAAAATGGTTGAGACAGCCTCTTTTGCTGTGTGTACCAAAGATGAAAGAAAGCCTACACAGTGCTAGAGAGGGTAGGGTCTTCTCAACATACTTTTATAATTTCTTAAAAGGCAGCTGTGGAAATGAACATTCACAGTGGAAGGCCCAAATGCTGTGGTTTTGGGGTGGGGGCATCTATGGCGAGCACAAATTCATTGATGTCATGGTCTCATGAATGACTAACTTTTGTGTTGTCACTAGGCTAATAAAAAGAGGGGAGGGGAGCCAACAGCTTTTGTGGACTTGTATATGTAGTGCCAAGTTATTTCAGACTGACATCATGTTTTTCCAGCAGGGCAAAGCTGATCCTCATTCACAGTAAACCAAGTCTCCAGTTCTAAGGGCTATTAAAAATCCTTTCATGTTATTCATGCCTTTAGCCCTGACCCAGTATCTATCATGTTGAATTAGTTCTAAGCATAATAATAATAACTCTAACATACATTAGAACTCTTTAAGAGTAATCATATAACTTCCTCTTCAGATTCTGTGATGAAAAATGAGCCAGTCCAAAACCCAAATCCCACTGAAATGGAATTAAATGCTTATGTCCCTTGGCAGGACTGAAGTAAAGTTAACTTCCTTGCACTTAATTGCACAGGGCTGAAATGTAGTTTTTCTGCCTTTTGTCTTCTTTGTGCAACACCCCCTGGGAAACCATAGGGTGGCGACTTCAATATTTCCACCTCTTTCTTTTCTAATTACTAGAAAGAGTTTTATTCTGCCTTGAGTTGCTGATAAGGCTGAGAAAAGCGGTATACAACTACAGTAAATAAATAAATAAATAAATAAATAAATAAATAAATAAATAAATAAATCCTAACATACTTCCAGTGGTGTCATTCAGCTAAATTACATCAATTCACCTGAACCAGTTGTTAAATTTGTTTTTAAAATGTGGGGGAGATTAAAGGGGGAGTCAGGAAAAGCAAAGGGAGGAGAAGGAAGAGACTGGTTATGATGAGGGCAGTACAGAGTCAAGAAGGTCCAAGGAGAGGGAAGGACTATATCCTGCAAAGATGTGGAGGGACAGCTGGATTCACAGATATGCCAAACATCCCATCATCCAACATAGCTTCTGCTGAGAAGCTGGAGATGCATTGCTGGAGGAGCAATATCTCCAGCTCCTGGGATCCTGGCAGAGAAGTAGCAAATTTCAGCTGAAGGAGACTGGTGGAACACATTTACATATGTGCATATTTTTGACCAAAATAAAGTAAAATAAACAAGATTTGTTTTGTAATTTGTGTTGAATGACACCACCGTATAATTCACATTTCCCATAATCTCTGTTTATGAGGATTATATGATAGGCATGGGAATGGATACCCCAGCAACCTCAAGTTTCCTGTTGATCTGCCTAGAACAGCAACAAAGCAGAAATGACCACAACATTCCCATCCAAGTACAAGGATATTTCAAAGACAATCACCATGAGTGGATCATTGACATCATCTTATATCAAATGTTTGCCACACAGTAGGCATGGCACCTGCTAAGATCATGGCTGTGGAAATAATACCAAGGGCATTTTAAAGTATCAATAGCATACATCATATACAGAGACATGTATGGCTATAATTATGACAAGCCCATCAACAATGCATTTTCTGAATTGTATCAGAATATATCAAATGGTTTTCCTAACCAATCTCAAATGAAAATAATTTAGAGGATAAACATGTATATACACTGAATATATACACACAGTCGGCAGCAATGGATCTGACAGATGCTGATGTACATGTAAGATGTGTTTGAAATAGCAAGTCTCACAAAAACTCTTTCCAATGTGGGCTCTTCAACCTTCAGTACCTCGTTCTACTGGTATCTTTGCTACTGACAGCTCACTCCACCAGCTCCAAACAATCCAGGCTTTCTGACTTGAATCTCAAGTTCTTGCCCTAAGAATTAGTGGGCGTTTGGAGAGAAATGCAGTACTATTGACTATTAGGGGAAATTTCAAAGCACTCTCCATGACTTGCATTGCAATCCTCTGACATGGCTTCAGATGGGCCCCACGCCAGGCCCACAACAGCAGAAGAATGGACAAAGGAAGGGAGAGAGGGAGGGAGGCAGGCGCGTTAAAGGAAAGCCAGTTACCAAGAACTTAATATTTCATGACAGACCAGTGCCTTAGCTGGCTAGGATTCTTTCCTCAGAGCCAATGAGCAATTGGGAAGCATTCAATTCCACAGGCAAGGCCAGTCATCAACCAGCATCTCTATTGAGTGACAGAAATCTTGCAGGATTACCTGATGGCATCTCTCTTTATGGCTCATTTGTTAATTCTGGGCAAGTGGACCTCATAGGGTCACTCCTCTAAGAACCCATAACTCAAAGGCCCCATCTATACTGCCTATAATTGAGTTTCAGAATTCAAATTAACTGTATTGAACTGGACTATATGGTAGTGTAGACTCATATAACCCAGTTAAATATGGTTCAATCTGCATTATATGAGTCTACATTGACCATTATAATGCAGTTCACATCAGATGATATGGCAGTTAAAAACATAGGATGTTAAAAGCTTCTGGAAAAAAAACACCAATATTGTAGTTCATGAGAACCGGAAAGAATATGCATGTCTGTTGTCTTCCATAACATGTGAAGAACTAAATCAACAGTAATCTGGAATGAAGGCTATGATCCCATATGCTTGTAGATGGGGCTTAGGTTCAACCAATTCAGTAGGAATTACTTCTGAGTCAACATATATGGAATAAGGTTCTATATTTAACTGAAAGATGTGGAATTGGGAAGTGCTAAAATGAATTTGTGCCAGTTGCACATGTGCTACTCAACCTATTTATTACCTACATTTATATCTCACATTTCTTCAGAAGTAGTATACAGGCAGTCCCCAAGTTACAAATAAGATAGGTGCTGTAGGTTTGTTCTACTGTTGAATTTGTTTGTAAGTTGAAATTCTAATCATTATACCACAGTGGCAAAGGTTGGACATCCTCCAGGATATTTCCCACAGTGAAAATGAACTGCACACCAAATATATCACATAATTTAGTCAAGTCTTCACTCTGGCTGGATCTACACTGCCATATCATCCAGGTTCTGAATCCAAATTATCTGCTTTGAACTGGATTATGAGAGTCTACACTGCCAAATAATCTGGATTCAGAAACTGGACTATATAGCAGTGTAGATGGGGCCTTCGTCCACCTTAGAAACCAGTATAAATCAAGATAAACTGACAAAATCTGTGGACTTGTAAAGATCAAATGTGTTTACATTTAACCTTAATGATATGACACTTATATAATGTTAGAACATTTTATGAAAGAGGCAGCTGTGAAGTTTTGTTATCCCTATTTCTTTAAAGACCAGGTAGAATACTAAGCTGCATGTTACTTGAAATTGCACTGTGACTATTCAGAAATATGAGGTACACACCTCCAGGAGTACCTGTGATTATTCTAATTTAAAACAAAACTATTTTTAAAACCATGGGGTTCTTTCTCCTAGGGATATTTGCTGCTTCCCATTTGCTCATCAGCCCATAGCCACCTTATGTTACCCTTGGCCTAATGAAATATTGGCAGAATTGTTCAAGACTGAACTCATTATTTTAAAAACCCACCACCAAGTTATCAAGGATTAGTCCATCAGAGGCATGCTTGACTTGAAGAGCAGAAAGATAGGGCATGCAACAGGAAATTAAAGGAAAACTTACCTTGACGTTCCATTCCAACCAAAGACAAGAAGCCATCCAAGAAATGTTAATTCCATTTGCCACCCAGGTTATGCAAGACATCATGTGTTGGAAGTATTTCCTCCTAGACCCCTAGCTCCTTCTCAGGTCATTCCCAAGCCAAGAAAATAAAAAAGAGAAAATCCCCAAAAAGGAAACCTATTTTTGCCACCTATGCTTGGGATGGATGTCTCCTTCTCCTCAAATAAAATAGATCTTCACAGTGCACCATTCTCAGCCAGTGGAGCCATACAAAAATGGGAACTGCCCTAGCTGAAATAAACAATGTGAGGGATAGTGGCAAAGAAATAAAATCCATCCAAGCAGACCTGTTAGAACACTTTCCTGCCAAAGGAGGCCCTCGTGAAGGCAAATTTGTCTATGTTTACAAAGCTTTGTAATGAAGGCTAGGATCCCATATGTACAAAGCTTTGTAAAGGTAGAAGGTAGCCCAAGTTGACGCTCTGTAAATTTCTTCCAAGGGAACATTATTTGTGGTAGCCTAAGGCATACATTGACCTGGTATAATGGGCAGTTGCATTATTAGGTTTAAATCAAGTATGAAGAGGACATGTCCTGGAAATATCTGTTCTTGAATTGTTTGGAGGCTATCCATGTGGAAGCATCTATACTTTACATAACAACTGATATCCAGTAGTGGGTAAACCCCACTCCTTTTTTTGACTATAATGAAGAGGATAGAGTAAACACCTTTACCATTTCATTTTGGAATACTTGTGTTATGGCTCCTTTCTCCAAAAGGCGAGAGATGCCCTGGTGCATTGCTGTGCTCTTGGAAGCCAATAACCTGGGAAATCAGTGTTTTGGCTGTTGAATGAGTTTTAACAAGTTACTTTTGTTTATTGTCTTCAATACCCATTGGAACCCAGACCATGAGGATTTAAATGATCTGACATCCCTAGAGTGAAAAAAGAGTAAAAAGGTCTTGGGCTATTAACCTTGATGTTTTGAGTCTTGGAAGGCATAGTCTTTTTCTTGATGCAATGGGACAATTAGGGAACAGGTGAGAGAAGACAGAGGAAAATAAACGAAGAGTTTAAGGCAAAGGAGAACTGAGAAGTCAATATCCAACCTTTCCTGAGTAAGGCAAGGAAAAAGAAATGAGGAGGCGGAGAAGCAAGAGATCTAATAGGAAATACTTCTAAAACAACCATGCCTGACATAGGTGGCAACTGAAATGAACCCTTTCTTGGATGGTTCCTTTTCTACTGGCCTAGAATGTACAGCATTTAATAACAAGTTTATATTCAAAATTATGTTTGTTGCATTGCACCTGTAACTACTGCATTGTAATTTGGTTGTGAGGGATAGTTCTTGCAGCGTTTCAGTCAGACCAATGGATTAGATTCCTGCTAAGGAAAGTACTGTATGTCCTTGAACAGAGTACAGTGACCCATAGCCTGCTTTTTGAGGAGCAACACAACATTTAAATAAATATTGGCTAGAATCCTACTGGGGAGTTACAAATGTGTAAACCTAGAGTTATGCATCCAGAGCTGTTTAGTATTCATCAATCCTTAGGAGAAACTTGGGGACTATGAAAGTCTCCTAATTCCCACCGATTGTACAGGAGTCACTGCAATTGATGAGACTCGGAAAACAGATGACTGATGTTCCCACCATCTCCTTATGGAATGATCTTTGGTGCAAGGGGGAACTGAAGCATGAACTTTGCTTCTTCCTTTCACAATGGGGACTTATCACAGATGGAGGTGGGAATGTCAGTCATCTGCTTTCTGAGTGAAAGAAGGGAGTCCCATCACTGCTGCAGTTGCCTGCAGGAAAATGGGGACTGGGGAAGTCAGCCTAGAAGTCTTACTGCACAGAGGAAGGGAAATGGGCTATATCTGCAGTTAAAGTAATCACTGGAGAGCCACAAATTAAAGAGCCCATGAGCTTCTTTTACTCTTGTTTCTGTAGACCTGATGTTGGTGATGACTGTTGCCATCTTGGGTATCTTTGGGAAGTAGGTTTCTCTTGAAATAGTCGAGCTAACCATTTTAAAAGCAAATCTGGCGTTGGCTTTTGTTTGAGACCTATAGGATTAACAGGTATGAACCACAATAAAGGTCCTAAAATCATGTCCATGAAGAATAGAAACCATACTTCCCTTATTTAGAGTATGTGCTCATTTATACATATGCATTGTATAAAATACGGTGTTATACATATACTGTTGTTTATTTTTTCTATTTGTTAATTCCATCTTTATGACAAATAAGGTTTGCTTTAAAATGGTGCACATCATTTTAAAAAGTAATTTGGACATCATCCAACCGGTCCTGTGTTACAGTTTGGTGATTTTGCCAAAAGAGTGATGCAAACCATAAGGAGAACAAACTGGCAAAAGGGCCCTCAGTACTATGTATTGGGGATGGAAGAAAAGCAGACTTTTCCATGCTAAAAGCCGATACAGCTCACCATCTGTTCTGCATGAGAATGTGTCTTGTTATGTAGGTGTGCATTACTGAAATGCTATTTGAAATGTGTCTTTAAGGTTTGGGTTAATTTTCATTTCTTTCCACCTGGAGAAAACATTTGTCTCCTGTCTCTCTCTAACGTAGAGACTCAGAGGAAGCCATAGGAAAATTACCTAAAGTAGGATCTGTGTGCCAAAAGTCCACATTTTAAATACATTTCCTTTGGGACATTCCACCATCAGACTCAGGTGTTGGGTTTAATTCAAACCTGATTCAACTTTCTTTTTCATCAGTCTTGGTAAATTTGTGGTATTTTTTAAAAAAAAATGTTAAAAACACTGTTGGTAGCACTAACATTGTGATATATAATTTTAGGGACAGGGCATATGAATGAATTGCAATAATAATAATAATAATAATAATAATAATAATAATAATAATATAATGGCACAGTCCATGGAGCACTTGTCAGAATACTCCAGAAAAACCAGCCCGAAAGGATTTTTATGCCTTATGCACAAAGGTTTGCAGCTATGTTTTAATTGTCAAACAGTGAAGCGTAACGACTGACTTGGACCATGATTCTACCAGATGCTTTATGGAGGTGGAAATTCATACAGAGTAATAAATACCAGAAATACTGATCTTCCCAGGTAGAATTTACGCACTGGGTGTCATCATAGTACAAAATAATATATTTCCTGATTAATGAAGGAAATTAGCTTCTGCTGGCATTTTAAAAAGAGACTATTAAGCCATGTTGTTGTTATAAATACATTGTGGAACCCATGCTATAACTGTTAAGACCTATATTCAATTGTAAATCCAACTTCACTAGATCCAATGAATCAATGTGGACTTGTTAATAAACATATTAGTTGCACTGATTCAATGTGTTTATTCTAGTCAGTATTAAAAACGTTTTAGGTCTATACATTTTGATGGATGAAAAGAACTTTCTCCATGATGATATGGTTCATCCAGTTTTTTATTCTTAACAGATAGACAAGATTTTTGACATACTTGGCTCATTTAGTTATGTTTCCTGAAAGTTAGAAAGGTTTGTATTATCTATAAGTATAAAGTTGGACTGGTTTTATCTGAAATAAACCAGCACAAATAAAGCCAAATACATCAGACATGTACTGCAATTAAGACCTTAGTCTTGCATTTCCCAGCAGACAACAGAAACAGGAAAATTATCAAGCCCTCAGTGACCCATCATCAGAGCTTTAAAAAGTTACTCTGGGAAACTTTAATTCCCCTAGCACTTCAATAAGCATGCTCACTAGGGACTGGGAAATTATAGTGGCAATAGTAACTTTTCCAAGTTCTAGCCATTGCATATGGTGGGTTTCATTCAATTTGGTGGCTCTACAATGTGCAACCTTTCTCTGTCTTGACTGTCAAACCTTTATGGAGAATAATGGATATTTGTGGCTCTTGAGGAAAGAAAAACAAAGTTCAAGTAACAGCACCGGGCCCTATTGTTTTGTTTTATGCTAACATTCAAAACTCTGTTTCCTCTCTTACATCCTCCTCCACATATACAAGAGTTGGAAAAAGTTTCTGTTTTTTGTTATTGTGGAGGAATATGTGCAAAGATAACAGTGGCATCATGAGGAGACTGTGATAAACAGAGATGAAAAGTGATGAGGGAGGAGCCAAGAGTGGCAGGTGGAGAGAAAAGAGAAGATGGGTTGTGATCAAAATGGTGGTGGGTGTTGGGAAGCTGACAATGGTTTGACTGGCTGCCTCTAAGGCTGGCTTTGCCAAAGCCACCCGCCAACCCCCAGCCAACTCCCATCCCCTTGCCCAAGTGAACCGAACTTACACAGGTTACTGTAAGGGGTTTGTGGTGAGACAGGGAAGGCAGGGGTTGGGGGAGAGGTCTCACCACCACTGGAAGGTGGACTGCTTGGAGGAGTCCCCTGCATCTCTTCAAAAGCTTCTTTGTAGCTGTGCAGATGGGGCTACGAAAGTGAAAAGAGAAAAGCAAAAGCAGAATCAGTGGTAAGAATCCAGCACTGTACTCTTTCAGCATATTAATGCACATTTTTTACAAACTGGGGAGTAGGAATCCCTGATTCCTTTTTTTCAGATGTTCTTCCACCTAATCTGGCTGAAAATAGTTTAGTGTCTTTTCTCATTTTATTTTAAAACAACAACAATAACAGAAATAAGAACACTTCTACTTTAATTTGAAAGAGCATTCCACTGCTGTCAATGTTTTCTGCCCCCCAAGCTGGTAGTAGTAGGGAAGAAAGAGTAATGGCTCTTTCCAGGACAAGCAATGTAGGCTCTTTTAACATCTATACCATTATTTATTACACTGGAAATTAGGGGCGCAACAACAAGAAGAAATGAGCCTTTAGAGGGGATTTGGGGAGGCTCCTCCCAATGCTTATATGCTCACTCCCATTTTACTGTCAAGTCAAACTCTTCTTCCTTGAACAACATGACCTTTTTATCCAGCTTCAAGCACTTTCTACCTGGACTTTTCTGCATGTACATAGTATCGTCAAGAAAAATTAAAAACTGAAAAGAAAGTACCTCCTTGGGTCGTCCTCCAGGGTTGGCAGAGATGGTGCTAACCACCTCTGGTGAGACACAATGAACTGGAGAACGAACAGTGGGACTTCGTGGTGAACTTGGGTCCTGAGGACTGTTCTCATACTGGCCTTCACTGGTTGTGCGTCTTCGGGTGGGGGCTTCTGTTTCTTCTGGTGACTTCTCCCGTGGTGACTGTACTCCTGAAAGTTCAATTACCAAATGTCAGAAAGGGGGATGACCATCTCACTGTGAGGCTTAATACATATACAGGTAAGGGGACTAGTATTCAGATCTTTAGGCTGTGTCCTGGGACATGAAAGAAATAGGCAGTGGATAAAGTAATGGCTTAACAAAGAAGAAAATAGACATCTTTGTTCCCACCAGCAGATCATAAGAAAAATTGGCAAATAACAATTCAGAATGGCACTAGTCTGGGTCATACATTTAAAGAACACACATACAAAGTTTCTGCACTGCCACAGCCACATGGGGAATAAATCATTGAAGGAGGAAATGTTCCTGAGATCATTCATCCATTTTGAGAAAGAGTGATCATATGAGCAGGATTTCTGGAGGGCTAGGCATGGATGTAATGTCCACATTTTACTTTCCTTTATGGCTGTGGCCAGGGGCCACTCTGTATGTGAGACTTTTGAACACTCAAAGCTTGATTCAGATGGCATGTGCTTTGAACAGATAAAATGGATGGTCTCCTTGCTTAATTACTAGTTATCTTTCATCACCCGATGTTGCCTTGTATCTTCTTAAACTTTGGATATCCTCATCAGAAATCTATCCGTCCCCATCCTCAACATTTTCATACATTGGTCTAAAAATTATTCACAGATTAGGAAAATCTATCATGAAAAAGAAGAAATAGCTTACTGGAATGGAATTGGCTTTATACTCTATGTAGAGCACCCTTCTCTCAAAGTCAAAACCATCTACCCATATATCCACCGGTCCTTCATAGATCTACTTGTATAATCTGGATTCACTCTGAGCCAGAAACAGTGAAAAAGGGGTTGCAGAAGGATTAGTTCTGTTGCAGCTGAGCAAAGCTACACATCAAAGGGAATATTGGATTAAAAGACCCAGAAAAGACATGCACAGTATTAAAAATTATTATTTGTCATTCTGGAATTCTTCCCTTACTTATTAGAGACAATTTAAGGAAACAGAAGGAAAGGTTGTAACAAATCCCCCTTTATATACTGGATTGTAAAGTGAAATGAGATAGCATTACTGTGCTTGATATATTATATACGGCTTTCAGCTTATCATTTCCAGCACTCAAAGCAGCAAAAACCCGTTGACCTAAGATCCTGTTGCTGCTTCACCGTAGCTCAGCAGATAAGCTTTGATACTGTATATCAGTATTTATGATCATAGTGAATTGGTTTGCTGGTATTCTCTGAATCCATCTTTACCAAGATACAGTTTGGTACTGTGATGTAATTTAATTGGATTTCCAGTGTTTTATAATAGTTAATAGGCACAGACTTATTAAGTATTAGCTCTGATTTTCCAAGACCTGGCCAGAACTAACAAGGTGACTTGGAGCTCTCTCATTCATACAGTTTCCATAAGACAAAGCAGCTTCATGGCAACTAACAAAAAAGGCATATTTACCAATAAATCGAGGAAGATGCTATTTGATGTCGATGCTAAGAATTCTCTCAGAGACCCCAAGTCTGTCTTCTATACAGTGCAAAACTATCAGTCAATGACTATGAAACCCACTAAAGTGAATGATTGAATTTAGACTTCTTTTATTAATTAGAGTTAATCACAGCCTTTTCCAGAGTTTAGATTTGGCTCATAATTATCTTGGCCTCGAAATACTTGCCCACCACAGTGCCTACTTTTCCTTTTGATCTGGTTGCACAGCTATTGAGAAAGTTTGCTGCTGCAGCCTTGGATAGGCCTTGGGAAACTACAATAGCCCTGTGGTTTCTAACACCATAGAAAATGCTTAGAGAGAGTCTTGTTCACTGTAAGGAGAAATCTAGTTCTACTCTATTTTTTACCAATGTAGATACAAAGTAAGGCTGCACTTCAGCGTGTTCACAGACAGCAGAAAGAGCCTAAGACATGGATCACATTTCAGCCTATTTGTTTCTATAAGCTGCAGTGATTCCCCCAGCCCCTGAGCATCCTACCTTTCAAATACATTTGAATTATTGTTTTATTTTATTACATTTCATTTCACCAAGGCACTTGATTGTGAAGAAGGTGACACCTTAGATTGCATCCTTTAAAAGTTGGTCAAGCCAGTCCGTGGGACTCTGGAACTGCTTTTGAGCTCCTTGGCAAATCTGGATCTCTCCTGGATTAGTAACAGCTATGCCATTTTCTCAGCTACAGAGAGCTTTGCCTTTCAGACAGCTGAGAAAAAGAAAATAAAGTGGGGGAAGAATGGGAAAGCATAGATTTTGGAGTGTGCTCTGAGATTTCTAATACAGAAGCTTACTTAGGCAGAAAAAGCAGAGAGAACTGGACTCCATGGTGACAAAAGCAACCAAACTGTAACATCTGCAACAAAGGAAAATCCATTGACTGTGGGAGAGGAAAGCTCACACTCAAGTAACACCACATGTAACATTCATTAAAATGATCAGTGATATATTTTTCTTAAAAGGGAGAATGGGGTTTAACTTGGAAATGTTACTTGTTTGGACCACGTTTCCCAGACTCCTCTATTGTTTATTATGGGTGCTACATTTTGGGGATTGTATTTCCCCAAACTAACTTCTGAGATATATTATTTTGTGCCAGGACACCTGCTTAGCTCATTTGACATCTTCATAAATCCTTCCCAGACCATTTTGTTTTGTGTCACAATTTTAGTAGTGAATACATGCATGATTCTTTTAATCACATCACTGGTGCCTCTCATTACTTTTACTACAGAATCACCAAGCTGGAAGGAACTCAAGAAATAGCAGCAGAATGTAGCTCTAGATACATTCCACCTATCTCTGAGCTCCGCTGCCTTCTTTGAAGTTACATATTGGAGCGCAGAATAATACAGTGCAGAGATAATGAAGCAGAGAGAGAATGGCTCTTCTGTTTATACTTGCATCATATGACATCAACAAGATGGGTGAATGGACAGATGGATGGAAACTGGCTTTCTTTTTTAAAAGTTGAATCATACTTTGGCAGCTGCAAGCCCAAAGCTGAAGGTCAACACAAAATCAGTTTGCAACTTATGTTAAGTTTTATTCTGAAAAACACGAACTCAAAGTTGGAGTAAGACACCAGCTTTCAGATCCAGAAATCCTTGAAGGAAGGCATAAGCCTGTTATTTTCATTGGATGGGCGGGAGTGGAGGGTAGAGAGAAGTTTTCAAGGTACAATGACAACAAGACAAAAATAGAGGGAGAAATCCACAACCTCACTTGCAGCTTGAATGGGGAACTCATTTCTAAGCAGAAGGGAATGGACAAAGCCCCCATTGCAATGAGAGCAAGGACCAAAAACATTCTGCTAATGTCTGCAGGGAAAGCCTGGAGAGGAGCCATTGCCTTCCAAAGCAATGCATTCCACTTAACTCCCACGCCAGGAGAGTGGCTGCCATCATGCCCTCTGTATTGCTGCTGCAGGCACATTTCAAATTTCTCCTACACTGGCTTTTAAATCCTCCGCCCCTTTGCCGGAACTTTAGAAACACTTCAGTAGTGTCTCCTGCCATTCTGTGCTTTGTTTCCCCATTCTCTGTAAAGCAGAGAGTGGCGGGGCAGGGTTGGGTACGGGTAGAGAGAAGAACAGAACCAGTGTTTCAGAGCCAACAGTGGCAATGTCTTGGCTCGAAACAACCATGCTTGGACCAGGAATTATTGAGGATAAGTAGGGAAAGATGGGTGCTCGCAAAGTGGCACTCTTTGACTTAAATGTCTGTGCTATGATTGTTAGAAAAATCCTATGCTAAGATACAGTGCAACTTATCTTTAAGGCAAAGTCACCACCTTCTGTAATCTTTCTCAATAGGTTCCTGCAGACTTAATCCAAAAACAACAACAAATGTATTGTCGAAGGCTTTCATGGCTGGAATCACTGGGCTGTTGTAGGTTTTTCAGGCTGTATGGCCATGTTCTAGAAGTACTATCTCCTGGCGTTTCACTACATTGTGCAGGCTTACAATGAACATAGATTACAGAAAAGATTGAAAAACGGAAAGATCTTTATATATCAGTCTTCAAATTTTTGAATAAAATAACTGTTTCTCTTTTGTAAAAATCTATATATCTCCTTGTGCAACCCCACCCCACCTTGCCAGTCAATATAATCACATCACTTAAATCAGTACCAATATAAATTCACTCCAGATGATTGGGGGGGGGGGGGGGGGGGGGGAGGGGGTAGCAAAACAGTAATACCACTGGTGTTAAAAATAAACTGCTTCAGTACAAAAATAAAAAGTGAGCAGGGAAACAAAATAAATCATTAAAAAGCCATACATATTCATTTAAAATGTAAGGCACACAGCTACAAATGAAGCTGAAAGACTGCACATGCTAAATAGGCAAAGCACTTATTTCACGCTAATTTCTCATATTTTAGGCCAATTGATTAATACCAGCTAAAGTAGGCTCACTTAATCATTTGGGCTTACATAAGTATTCAACAACTGATAGTTCAAACTATTTATAGGATTCAAGTCTCAGAGGGCATTTTTTGAGACTTTAGAAATGAATTGGAATGGCTCCTTCCATTCCAATTCATTATATCTAGGAAAGGATTGTGTGTGAATTGACTTTATAGTGTTACCACCAAGAGCTGGGCAACACAAAATGGGATGCCCTTATGATTTGAGTGCTTTAAATTCAATTTTCCTGCTTCTTGAAAGGGCTGGATGGCCCAAGTTAGGCTGGGCTGGATGGCCCAAGAGGTCTCTTCCAACTCTATGATTGTATGCAGCTGACATTGATACTATAAAAGGGGCTACAAAGAGCCAAGAAGAACCAATACTATGGTACACACCACTCTAAAGGGAGCAAAACTTTTTGCAGAACAGTGAATCTGCAAAACAAAGACCCTGCTGGGACTGCAACTGATAAATTGAGAGATCATCATGGGTTTGTTAGGGGACAATGCCACCCAGAAAAGCAGATGTCAGAATTATCTGAAGAAATAAGACCTATTTGGGTGAGAACAACATTGCTCTTCCATGACAATGGTGGGTGGGTGTAATGCTCTTTATGGGGTCATGGAGATTTAGTTGCCTGCACCATTGTCCATAATTTTTTTTGAAACATGCATGTGTCTAGGAAACACATATGTCCAAAAGCAATGAAGTTACACAGACATGGACAAGAATTTGTCCTCCAACTTTTCTGCTCGCTTTCCAATGTACCATATGATAGTATGGATATTCTGCTACTTCACAATTAGGTAAGGCATATACACTACAGAACAGGCCAGAGTGGCATACAATATTGTGGAGTAGTCTTGAAATAGTTTTTCTAGATTCTGGTGTGTGTGTGTGTGTGTGTGTGAATATGACAATTTCCAAATCAGCCAAGGTTCGGTGTTTAACAAGCATACAAATTCCAAACCTGTTAGGAGAAAGGTGGGTAAATTCAGAAGACACAAGTAGCCTGTATCGGATCAAACCGGAGAAATGAAACAAGACATCACTGAACCTTCTGTTAAGATGGCAAGTCATTATTTTGTGAAATATCACAATAAAAACCAAACAGATTTTGTATGCAGTTCTAAAACCACCGAGAAAATAGTTATCAATGTGTAAATACCCAAGCTGTTGCACCATTGAAAGAAACAAAGCCAAGAAAGAAAAGGCTCCAGGAACCCCTTACTGCTGAATTTAAGAGTTCAATTAAAACTTGTTCTTCACTGCAGAGCTTCTGACTCCATGAACTCCTTTTCCCATAAATACTATTCTTGTAATAAGGGTGCTAGAGAGCAACCACACTTTTGAAATCTGTTGATAGGTTCCTTTCTGCAGAGACATAGAGATCCCAAAAATTTACACACCCACTTCCTGACTCCTTCTGCTAGCCACGCAGAACTGGAAACCCCTGTTCTGATGCCAGTCCATGCTGCTGCCAGGCACAGAGGAAAGATCTGAAGTGCATAATCCCCAGAGATGTTTGTACAACACACACAAACTCTTAAATAAACCACGGTGTATGGCCAAGCAATACTGCACGTGACCGGTCCAGTTCTTGGACTTTAATACCAATCCTCCTCCCTCTTTCCCAGAACCACATGCAAACTCCTGCCCCTTGACATTCATGGCGACACATTGACACAGCACCAACAACAAAGCAACAATGAGTGTGCTAAACACTGGGGTAAATAAAGCTGCTCCCCACCCAGCCCTGCTGTCCTTTTGCAAGTGATTTCTGGTTACACACCACAGATGAATATCGCACACAGCAAATGGTTCCATCAACAAGCTCATTAGACACACTGCAAAAGGCAGGGAAAAGGCAAGGGAAAGGAACCACAACCAATGATTTTAAAGGAGCTTTGGGATGAGGGCTTGGCTGTATTTAGAGTCAAATCTTGGTAGGCACAAATGATTGCGCCATTGCAAATTTTCTCCAGCAGAACACATAACTGTCATTTGTGAAGAAAGGCTCTGATATAGTCAGAAGGGAAAATCAAAGTCCTCAGGCCTTTCTGCAAATTAGGAGACAACACATACCTAGTTTTGATGGTGTCATTTTGAAAAGGACTCTGAACAGCCATCTCTTTCCACTCCTACCAAGTGGAAAGAAGCCCCACCTCTCTGCTCTGGTAGCATCCATGCAAGGGAACTGGTGACCATGCAGGAAAGCCAGGACAAGGAGGTCTTGGGAGAAAGAAAGAAAAGCAGCAACAGAACAAACCAGAAAAGGAGAAGGATCGTTGTCGGTGAAGAGGAGGATGGGGGCTTTTTATACTCTTCCGGATGTCCCGGAGTTTGGCGTTGTACTCTGACAGGGGGAGATGGAGGTAGGGTGGGTAGGAGTAGAGGAGCAGCAGGAGAAGGTCAACCAAGGATGAAACAAAATCCATCATGGAGATTGTGAAAGAGAAAAAGTAGTCAGAGACAGAACAAACATCACAATGGACAAAGAAGAAAGGGGGAGGGGAAACACAAGAGAAAATATTAGTTGGAATTTTACCCCAGGCCTAAAACTTTGTGATGTAAGAAGTGCAAGTTAGGGTCAAAAACATAGTAAGAGACACCATAGAACTAATGCAATTGTCAACTATTTAAAGTAGACCTTTCCATATAGGATGATCTCAGGAGTATATAATCATGGCTTGTGTGTGGTGGGCACTAGCTACATCATCCTGTATCATTCAAAATAATTACGTTATACTTGCGGATGAGTACATCCAGAACAAAAAAAGCCATGTTGCCCAATTTATGTGATTGGAAGTGCTGCCTCACCATTCCCGGTTGCCTTTATGTGAAGGAGCCTCCCAAGATACCCTTATATAATAGTTTGGGGTATGGGTACCTCCCCCCAAACAATTGGAGAGTTACTCCCTAATATGTGATCATGCAGAGGGCTCAGAGAAGTAGGTGAAGATCCTAAGAGCCACACTGGATTCTCCAGGGCCAAATGAAGACAATGTTTTTCAATCTTGCCTCTGAACCTCATTTTCAATCCAGAATTTTGTATAGCAATTCCATCATCTAAAATTACAAGAATGATGACTGCAGAAGCTGAGATATTGCAAGAATTTGACACAGGAAATCAAAGGTACAATGGACTGGAACTAGTATAAAAGGCTGGTGTTTGCAATGTCTTCATGCTATTGCAGGGCAAGGAGAAGAGCAGCCTCCAAGAGGTCTTGCCATCTCCTACTCAGCTTTGCTGAAGATTGGCTCCAGAGCATCTAGGCAAATGAATGGGCAAATAGATGTGATAGTTAGTGGCAGTGAGATTCAATTGAAATTACTTTCCTCAGTAAGTTAACACTGTAACAGGAAGACTATGACAGTAATGTACATTTTGTTTTATGAAAATCTGACACTATAGCTAGTTGTATTTTTCATGATAGAGAAAGAATGCATCTCTGATATTGCAAAACCTATAGCTCACTGAAGAAGCAAAAATTTCCTCATATGTTCTATCCAAAGTCTCAGGATGATTCTGAAACTGAACATTGTCCTCCCTCTTTCCACAATCACTTAAGCAAATATTTACAACACACACATCTTTCATGGGATTATTGAACCCATGTCAACTGAATCCACATGCCCATTCTTCATTTCTGCATGGTAGCAGGTAGGACTAGATGGCCCATGTAGTTGCTTCCAAATCTATTATTCTATGATTGTATGATTCCTAACTGCTTAGAATTACATTTAACTGACTAGTTCAGAGTTCTTTTGTAAGTTTCCTTTGGATCCTCCCTCCTTCTACCACTATAAATTGCCTTCATTACTGGCTGTCAGTTGTGTTTGTATAAGAAAATCTATTTGTCCACACAGTCATATACTGGGACAAAGTTTATGTGGCAATTTCATAGATTTTTTCAGAAAGAACCATATATTTTTGCATTTAACCACACTCCCCCCTCCTGCTTTTGACTTCCCATTGTGGTATGTGTTACCAACTAGCAACCAGCTTTTACATATTATTTAGTGAGCACCCCAGTGCTTTTATTCCTAAACAACGGGAATTCTGATAAGGTACTCCTTATCACTGATATATCTTCTCTATTCATCCTTCTCAAATTTTGATTCAGGCTGGAACTATACTAGAGGACTTCAATCCACTTTGAATTCAAGACATATTTTGAGTTTCTGAGATAGCTAGCACTAAGAACCCAAGGAAACACATTTCACTATTCGTCTGGATTATCTTTGTGTTGCTACTTTCATAAGGATTTCCAGGAGTGGGTAAACATACAGACATGAATGAAATGACTTACAGAGGCATATGTGAGTCAGCTGGGTCCAGCTAATTGTTTCAGGGCTTCCACTCAGGTGCCTTCCATGTCTTGATCCAGGCAGAAATTGCAGTGGTTGGGAGCAGGCCTGGGTTGGACTAGCTTTTTCCAGGCGGTGAGTCCTCCAAGAGGCCTTTCCCCTTAATCATTACAAAATTGCTCCCCGCCCTACTGTGTAGGAAATCTGAATTCTCATGACAGCAAAATCCAGGGAGGCTGATGATCTGTGAAATTCCACACATACCCGCCTTGGAACAAACAGGCAATTTATAGTAGCATGTCTTGCAAATAACAAGCTGCTCTCTCCATGCTTGCTCTATGCAGACCCCATCCCTCTGTTCTTTTTCTTATCATTTTCTAGCACCTGCCAGATCTTTTCCATCACTCCATACTTATCTGTGATCATGGAATAGCCCAATACAAATTGTGCACTTCTTTGATGGGAATGGGGCTGTTTTTGATAATAACCAAGTTTTTGCAGGACTGCTAAGCTCATGCATTGGTGAAATGGAAAACCTGATTATAAATACGTAATGCTGTGCCTGTTTTTTTTTCCTGCATTTGTTATGTATTACCTATATGCAGCATCACTTGTAAAAACATATGACACTAGAAACAGGGGTCAAAACTCAGTTGATTAATAAATACTGCATCGTTGTAGATGGGTTAGGGGAGTGATGAATGTGAAGGATAGTCCCCTCTCCATCACATCCTATATCTCTTCTTTTCAGTTTATTTGAGGCAATCATATAACAGGGTATCAATAATAATAATAATAATAATAATAATAATAATAATAATAATAATAATAATAATGTGACTGGAATGACAAAATGATATATATTGCTCCACCACCTTTAATCAGGAGATTAAAACTTGGAGAAAGACAACACATATAGATTTGAGAAGCCACCTAGTTAGATGTTTTCTCTCAAGTCTCCAGCTGTGGTTCAGCTGTCTCCACTACAGTGGTATTGTCTAATACCAGCTAGAACGTTCAACATGCCTCCATCTTAAGATACTGGGGAGTTTGAGGCTAGTCAAGATGCTTTTGCTCACAGTAGAGGAAACTCCAGTGTAATAAAAACCTTGTAGCACTGGGCTAGATATCTGATGCTTTTTCACCTGTACCAGCATCCCTGGGTTGTGGATGAAAGTGTCTATGTCTGTGTGTGTGTAAAATAAATGAGAATGGTTGCTCTCTGTTGGTGTGGCTGGCAAATATAGAAGAGATGCTGGCATGACTTTACAGTGTAAATAACCACAAGATATTTTCTGCATGACAACATGCAGAAGGAATATACAGAGACCTTGATTCCTTGCTTCTCTAGCTATAGCTCTCTACCCATTTTTGAACCTGATTTGGCAGCAGTGATGTATGGCTGTGAAATGTCTAGCACATTTCATTTGAGAAGTGGCTCCATTTAGCTTCAGATGAAGACTCTCCACATTCTGCAGGGCTGATCTTCTGGGCCAGCCCTGCTGTTTTTCACAGGACCTTGCCCTGAGGATAGTTAAAGGCAAGTCATTTGGTGCCAGGCCAGCTCTGCAGCTGGAAACTTGTCATTCCTCTGCTCTGGAGCAACAGCAGCTGGGGCCCAAGTCTCCATTCCTTGTTTTCTGCTATCTAAGGCAATCCTCCCACCCTTTCTACTGGGAAATTGGGAACATGGCTGTTGTAAGCCCAGCAAGTATCAGAGGAATTTTCTGATGGTGGTTCAGAAGATGAGGGAGATGATGGGTTTCACAATGAGGAGTCTGTGAGTGAACTGAGAGAATTGCAGGTAGATGAGGCTAATGTTTTTGATTCCTGTGCTCATTCCCAAGCAACAGGGGAAAGTGAAAATTCCAGTTCCCTTGAGAAAGAGAAAAGGCCTTGGGCAGAAGGGAAGTTTTCCCAGGAAACTAGATTAGGCAAGAGAATGCAAGGAGTGAAAAATAGACAAACTAGGTAATGATAGTCTGAGATAAGACCTTGAAGTCCAGGTGTGTTCGGCATGATGTTATGGGTGCCTGGATGGTCTTAAATTAAGTGGTTTGTCTTCAAGGCTCTCAGAGAAGACAATGTTGTCATAGGACAGTGGTTCTCAACCCAGATGTTTTGGCCTTCAACTCCCAGAAATCCTAACAACTGGTAAACTGGATGGGATTTCTGGGAGTTATAGGCCAAAACACCTGGGGACCCACAGGTGGAAAACCACTGTCATAGGAGATGGCTCTCCTGTCTCTGCTCTCAAGTTCACGATTCAAGAATTCTCAAGATTCCTGTTCTGGTTCATGCCATTGTTTCCTTGAAAGGTTTACCTTGGAAAAGGTCCTGTTTTCATGTTTATTGATTTATGTTTGAAGTGTTGCTGTGGATTTTGGCTCGCTTGACTTTATGCTCTTTGTCATTTCTGCTCTTTGTCATTACTGCTAATTTTTATTTTCTATTCTACTGACCATTTTGGAATTTCCCTTTTTTCTCTTTTCATCTGCTTTCTTTTTTAATTAGAATTACTGGACTCTGATGTGGTTCTGGGTGAAAAGGTGTTGCAGTGCTAGAATGCAACACTGGCTGTCTTAAATAGCAGGATGCAAAGGGACACATAAGATGTATGTGTGTGTGATAGAAGGGAAATACACTAATAAACATGAACATGAAAATAAAATCAGAGATGTCTTTGGACATAAGATACTGCCTGAACTGTATCACAACAACACAGAGATTATTTTCAGTGCCTTGCTTAAGATGCTTGCCTTTGGGTTTCTTACTGTTACACGTTGACAGCAGTTTAATCCCACTTTAACTGCCATCCTACAAAACCAGGGATTTTTAGTTAGGTGTGGTTTTCTGCTAGAAAGTTCTAGCCTACCCCCTGCATCATAGCCATTAGCAATCCAATCACTCTCTGGTTCCTTGAGCTCTGGAAACTCCAGAAAAGCACTCCTAGCTCCACTGAAGCTGAGTGTCTGTAGCAAAACCAGAGACCTTACTATTGACTCCTACTTACTTTAACTGCATTTGACAAGAGAGGGGGCTATCCTTTACATTCATCACACACTCTTTCTCCTTAACCTGTATATGGCTACCTATTCTATGCAAATGTGTATTATGCCAATGAACTACATTTGCCAAGGAGCAGCAGGTGGAGAAAGGCTATAAATAACATATCATGCTTGCAGACTTCCTAGTGGCCCTCATCAACCTGTATTGTTATTCACCCAGTCCTCACACTTTTTTTCATATATGGGCTACCTGGTTTTTATTATTTCTTTTCTTGCATTCAATATAAACCTGGCATTTTTACTTTCTTTATAAATAGAAGACTTGGATCATAGAAGCATAGAATAATAGAGTTGGAAAAGACCACATGGGCCATCTAATCTAGCCCTCTACCATGCAGGAAAAGCACAATCGAAGTACCCCTGACTGATGGCCACCAGCCATGTTGAGAAAATGTTTCATACAGGAAGGTGGGGATTGTGGGCTAGATATGGCATCATTTTCCAGGTCATAAACATAGTTCAGAGCTACCTTCTTGTGTATATACACAGAACCTGTCTCCTTGCCTACGCTGGGAAAGAAAACCATACATCTAAGGAAAATGTGGCAAGGGTGTCAACTGTGGGTTTGATACTCAAACAGTGTATACCCTGAAGTGGCACAGTGACTCAACCTCCAGCTCCCTTTTCCATTCTGCGGCACTCCTTAAGCCAGAACCAAGGCATTCCCCCTCCCCTCAGCTGAATGCCTTCAATGCTTGTGGCCCAGGGACTGAGCTCAACAGAGGCTGGTATTTCCATGCTGGATTAGGTCCAGGAAATTTCTGAGGAGCTTGGCAATTAAAAACATTTCTGTGTAATTACCAGCCCCAGGATTGTCAAGGCCAAGCCTGCATAAGGGGTGCAATCATTGCAATATTCCGAAACCAGCAGTGTAACTGCCTTCATGGAGAATCCCAATCCGTTAATTCCAAAGACTAATACATTTGGCAAGTGCGCCTGCTGTAATGTATACTTCAGCAACCCTGATCCATGATGTTATCTCTGGAGAATTAGGAAGAATGCTCAAAAGGAAATCTATGAAATGATTCTGTTCTGGGATTCACTACATCTACTAAAGAAATGTTCACTTCTCTGTCTGTCTGCTTGGGAGTAAGGAGTGACCAGCAGGAAGCGTACCAGGAACCTTCTATGTTGGTAACCAGAGCATACCAAAGTTACATTAAAATAGATCAATGAATGAAATGAGACTTAAAATATTTTCCTGCAACATATTCAGGTTACTTTTTAGTTACTTTTAGGGTGGTTAAGAGACATTTTGAGAACTTTATGTGATTCCATTATCACTTTTTCATTTGTTTAGATTTTTAAAAAAGTAATGAATACCTTAATAAGCAGCAAAACGAGTAGCTCTAAAGAAGAGTAATATTGCTTTGGAGAGCACTGCAAATATATTACATTACAACCCACTTTTTAAAGATGTCCTCCCAAGTTCTACTTGTATATATTCCTAGATCACACAGTATGTTATCTAGAACTGGAGCTGAAGCATGTATCCTGTAGAATCTTGTTTTTATTTCTTTCTGATTCTTAGATGGCAAACTTTTTAAGTGGCATGCTTCAGGCTTTCAGCGTCTCAGAGACAATTAAAAAAATAGCAGGCATGTCTGCTTAAGTAACAGATCAAATCAAATGACACATGAAAGCTCTATATTTGGCACTTTCAGTATCTTTTTCTTTTGGGGAAGATTACTGGTGTGGGAGCAAAGAAAGACTCGACTAGAATCTACATATAAGTGGTGGGTGAGGCAAATAGGGTAAAGCAGTATCAACTCTATGGCTAGATTGTTTTCCCTTCTGTGGATTGTGGACTGGTGTCCCCTCTTGTTGAATTTGGAACACAATTTGGATTGGGATATGGGCAACTGGTAGCTAGTGCGGTGTAGTGGTTTGGGTGCTGGACCAAGATCCTGGGAAACAAGGAATTATAATCTTGCTCTCCCACAGAAAATCATCAGATGACCTTGGAGAAGTCACACTCTTGGTCTCAGAGGAAAGCAATGGGAATCCTTTGAAAAAAATCTTCTTTGAAAAATCCCAAGATGGTTTCACCTTAGGGTAACCATAAGTCAGAAATGACTTGAAGGCACACACAACAACAACAACTGAGGAAATTTCCATAGTGTTGTCACAATCATAATTCAGGGCTGCCATGAGGTCCTTTTCTATTCCTTCCCAGAAAAACAAAGATGTTGGGAACTCCACGTATAGAGCCCTTGTGTCACATTTAAGTTGAACTTTCCATGTTAAAAATAGGGAAAAAATAATTGATTCAGTTTACATTGTACATTCAGTTAATATCAACTTTCTTCACTGGTACATCAACTGAAAACAAATTATCTGTCAGTATTCATACATCTCTGAATTTTGGCATGCTATTTCCTGATCAAAAATTCCTACAAAAACAAGACAGTGAATACAAATATATATAGTAAAAGTGATATACCAAACTTTTATAGAAATTTGTTTTTAAGAGTTGTAAGAGTTGCACAGCAAAAGAGAAATGAGCATAAATATTCCTGTGCAAGCTTTTGAAAATCTTAAGAACACAATTGGGAAGGAAATAATATTCTAAGTTACCAAAAATAATTGAAAACGTGTTTTTTAAGTGTTGTGAAACCCAAACAGGAAAAAGCTGGACTGATGACAATATTTGCCATTCAAAATTCTACACAAACTTAACATGGTTTCTTCTTGTTGTTCTTGTTCCATTAACACAGCTTTTAGCACTAATTTTCCCTTCCACTTCCATGCATACATTTCTCCCTGCCTCTCCTTTTTATTATTGTTTGAACTGTCATTTAAAAACTATCCTGGATTCTGCAAAACCTAAAATACCATACCAAAAGCGAAAAAATGTATGGATTGTACCAATTTCAGAGTGAGTTTTGGTTTCCTTGCTCCAGAGAACCCAGAGTCTTGGCCAAGATCGCCATAGCACTAGGCATGAAAGATACCCCTAAGGCTATGGAATATTTTCTTTCTATGGGTGCGGTGGGCATTTCCTTCCTGAGACAACATATTTACAGCAAAGACATTAAAGTCCCTTGTGCCACTCACTCACTGAGCAGAAAATCAAGTCAAACCCTGTCTTGTTTACAACAAACCTCCCCAAGCAGTTGCTGAGCAATTTATTCCTAAACTCAAACCCCATCGTCAACATTGTACTGCATGGCTTCACGCCAAATACCAGCAGTTACAAATTTGACTTGTCAGTTTTCATCTGTTCTAAAGGGCATATTTGGAAGAAGGGAGGAAGAGAAGCTCAAAAGAGATTCAGCAATAGCCCCTAGGATCCAAATAGCTATAACTCAATCCAGAATGGTATGTATGGTTGCTCCAGAACCATTCTGGCTCTCCATGGGAGAAGAAAGAAAACCTCGCTAAGTGTGGAAAGCTCAGAGAAAAGGTTTGCTATCAGCACTATTCATTTATGTTAAAACAGCACTATATTCAGAAGCTCACATGTTTTATATACTTGCATTTGCAAGTGTGGATGGTATAGGATTTCCCCAAGGCATTTTCACACCTGGACTGCCATGGCTTCTCCTTTCTAGCCAAGGTAAACCACTAACTCCCATCATTTAGATGGTTTCACGGGACTGTCTTCTGTTCTACTTAATCTGAAATGCTAGGGTTGGGTGAGGGGATATATGAGTCATGGACCTGTGTGTGGTGCCAATAACCTGGGCCATTAATTAGTGCTTAATAAATTGTAAGTAGTTACAACATCATTTAGGGATGGACTGATTGTTGTGGGTGCAAGTGAATCGTTATTTTCTCTATGATGAAGGGGTGCACATCCTGTGCAAATAGTTCAGTTTATCACTTTGCTTTGTACTATGCACACTAACAAAACCCAATTTCTCAAGTAGCAAACCCAACTACCCTACTCAACCCAGGCACATGAAAGACTGTGATCCAATAACTCAGAAGAAAAGAGAAAATTAGACTTCCTACCTGCTATTCTCTGGGCCACTAGACCTTCCAGATGCAAAGGTTCTTCCTCCGAGGGCCGAGAAGGTTCTTCATGATTCTCTGTGTCTTTTCCTGGCACTTGAGCTTGGACTGATAGTACAGGAGATGGGGGTGATATCAGCAGTGGATGCTGCCCCTCCATGAGTTTGTATGCCATTGCATGGGGCCTGGGAGATGTTGGAGGGCTTCCTGCACTCTGGTCATAGCTCCTGGCTTGTGTTGGCTGTTGGTTCTGATAACCATAGAGTGAGTAGGCCTCTCTGTAATCCTGTGTTGGAAATTCTGGCTCTCCAGCATTGTGGAGCAGCAGTTTGGTGGGATGCGCTTTAGGTGGTGCCTCAGGCAGCTGGGACAACGTAGTGTCCATGGAGTTGTATGAAGGGCTCCCTGGGATGGGCCCAAAAATATTGGTAGATTTAGGTTGCACTACTTGAGGACCAGCCACCGGCTGGGCAGACATGGAAAGGGCCACTGGACGTGGTTTCTCTTCTCTAGAAGCCACTGGAACACTCTGGGATTTGTGCATTACCAAGGAGGAAGAGGGATCCAGGTCAAGCATGAGCATGTTAAGGGCTTCGATTGATTGCTCTATTTCCTTCTGGGATGCCACATGAGGAAATTCAGGGATGCTGATGCTCTGAGTAAGTGCTGCTTGTGAAGGACTGGGCTGAGGGCTAACACTGGAGACACTGGGACTTTGGCTGTCTCGGGCACCATCTTGCTGGCGGGATGGTGACCTACTGCCTACACCTTGCTGCTGCCAAGAGTTAAGTCCTCTCTGGACAGCTTCCCGGCTACTAGTGCTCCGGGTTGGTGCCTGGGGGAGTTGGGGGCTCTCTGCTGTAGCTGTGGGGAAGGACTGGGAGCGGTATATGCCATTTGGATCATAGCCATACGAGTACTGCTGGCTGGAGACTGGAGGCTGAGGTTGAAGCCAGGCAGGGGTGGGGAAGCCATGCTGATAGTAGTCAGCCAAATTTTCCTGGGCAGACACTGAGGGCCTTATGTGCCCATAGGGGTCTTGGGGGTGACGCCCCATCATGCTCCTCAGGGTGTTCTGGTTGTTATAAGGGTAACCACCATTGATGACTGTCTCTGAATCATGCAGCTTATCTATGCCATTGAAGTTGGATGATCCATTTGGTAAGGAAACAAGGCTCTCCATCCGGGGGGCCTCATGGTAGCCCAGGTCACTAGTGTTAGTGGTGCCATCAAAGGATGAGAGAGTGCCCAGGCTACCCACACTGTGCCCGTCCTGATTGGGCAGCTCATCATCCAAAATGTCTGTTTCCCTCTCAGCCACCAAGCTGCTAGTAGCCTCCCCATTGACATGAACTTGAGCTGGGACTATGTGACGGCCTGATGGGGTAGTGGTGACCATGCCTACCCCACTGGGGCTGTGGTTGTGCATGTTGGCTTCGTTTTCCAATCCAAAACCACTGAGCAAACTCTCAAGCTCCCGCTTCTCTTCTGGAGTTAGTATAGGGTTGCTCCCTCCACTGCTACCAGGGAGTGCTGGCACTGCCTGTTCATCAGTCTTGTCTGTCTTGGTGGAAGCAGTTGAATTGCCTGAATCACTGCTGACAGAGAGAGTGTGCTCAATGTGGTTGGCAGCAGCAGATAGGGTAATGCGGTTGGTGTTAACTGCGCCGGTACTGCCGTGGAGCGAGTCTTTCTTCTTCACCTTGGCGTAAAGGCTGCCATCCAGGGGGCCTTGGGTGTGCCCAACCTCTGTGGAGAAGGAGAAGAGAAGGGAAACAAGGAAGGGAAAAAGTAATAAATAACTAGCTTATGATTCTGCAAAAGTAAATCGCTCCAATTAAAACATCAGTGCTGGCCCTTAGCCTTGAGTCACAATGAGAAGGAAAGCTGTAGCCCTTCCAATGGCTTGCTAAGCACCACCCCCATTATGTGCCCTCCAGACCTTTGCAAAGGAGGTGCTGGTGTGTCTGTCTTGAGGACAGCACTGCTCCTGTCATTTTCCCTTCCCAGAGGAGTTGATCACAGCCAGAGAAGTGCTGACAGTTACTGGAGGGGAACAAATTTACTGGCTATTGGCTTTTTTGTTGCTATCAAAACACAGGATGTTATGTAGCAAATGCACCTGCATTGATCCATGGTTAAATGAAACCTCTTTTGTAAATGGAAAACAAGCAGGGAAACCACAAAAGAAAAGGGCCCCAAGAGACTAGAAAGTCATCCTGCCATAATTTGTGGTCCATCAAGCCTAATGCAGACTGCAAGGAGCTCAGTAAGGCTTCTATTTTTGTTGTATGTCTGCAATGACAAAGAACAGGATGGTTTTCAGGCAGCTGGCAAACCCAACAGTGAGCTTATAGTCTGGGTCTGGTTTGGTGAATGCCAACTTGTGCATGTATTTTTCAGCTACATTCATTTCCTCTACGATCTCAAGGATGAATACATCATTCTCATCCCTATCTTCTTCCTCATAAAACCCTGTGAAGTAGGCCAGACTGAGAAATAGTAATTCACCCACAGTCATCCAGTGAGCTTTCAGGTTGTGTTGCGCTTTTGCACCCGTATTTCCTTGGTATTAGTTCAGCACTCTAATAGCTGTAAGCACATGTAGCCATTATGTTAGTCAATATTTTTAGCTAAAGCAAAATTCTTTCAACTAAAACTCACAACATGCTAATCACTAATAGTAGGTAGGTTCCCTGTTTTCCTTCTAAACAGTACTGAGAAAACAAAAGAAATAATGTGTAATATACTGCAGTGGCATGTCTAATTTGGAGATGAAGGAGATGAGGGGAAAATGCTGAAATTGTATCAATAGTACAGCATAAAATAAAATTAATGGCCTTGCTAGTGGGAGGTGGGGGTGGAGGAGATATCCAACAATGGTTGGTGTACAAATACTGAAAAATACAAAATTTCCTTTTCATGAGCATGGTATTACATTACAAATGTGCCTCTATTGACCTAAAATAACCCCAGAAAGGGAAGGTCCATCTATTTTGGGAACAACGCCAAGAGAACTAAGAAACACAGACAGATCTGAGAAAGAACCTCAAGCTACATTTGGTCTGCAAGACAAATTAGTAATGTTTTGAGAAGATCTTTGATCTTCTCCACCATTCTTGGATGACAAAGCAGGAGACATTTAAATAATGTTTAGTAAATTAAAAACCAAAGCTTAGGGGAAAATCCACAAGAGGATTCTGCAAATTTTAGTCCTCCACCCACCCACCCACTCTTCAAGTGGACATTCTTTTTAAACTCTGGTTAAAAGAGAAGTCAAGAGTGAAATGATAATTTATCTGGGGATGGTGGCATTCTAACTCCGTACGTTGCCAATGGAAAATGCCATAGCCCCTCTGACATACATCTAACATTTTCCTGTAGTTGAGGCTTCCAGGCTGCCTCACAAAAGAATTTTGTGGAAGCATGAACTGGTGTCTAATTTTTTTCATGCTCTACTAAAGTGCTCAGGTTAAATTTCTCATTCACACTGCCTGGTAGAATGGACTCCCCCTCCCCATTTTTTCTGCCTCTTCTCTCAGGTCCCTTTGTGAAATTTCCTGGAACCAAAAAAATGGAATGCACTCACTTAGGAGGAAAAAGTGACTTTTTAACCTGGCAATGAGCCAAGGACTGATTCAGGGAAAGGAAGATGGGAGAATGGAAGATCGAGGACCTCAGAAAGCTCCTATCTGCAGGCAGCACACACTTCCAGAACTACCTCATAACCCAAACTTGCCAGCAGGGAGCTGGATGTTATTTCCACTAAACCCCAGCTATGTGAAGTACTATATACACACATAGCCAGAGCCTGGGAAGGCTGTTTTTCTTGGATTAAAATTCCCAGAACATCCCCCTGCTGCCTGGGGGATTATAGGCGGTGTCATACAAAAAAGTAACTTTTCCAGTCTCCTCACATATACACATGGACAAACATGGGAGAGAGAAAACAGCAACTCTCCAACGAACACTGGTTGAACCAAACTATCCAGCCATGGAAACAAACAAGAATACGTTGTGGTTGTTGGAATCATTTGTTTGAAAAAATGAAAACTTATCTTTTTCTCTTAAGTACCAAAACAGGGCAATACTCAAAATTACTCCAGAATATCTAAACAATACATATACTATTTGTATATGTCCAAAAAGCATTCTCCGTGTATATGAATGCAGTATAATAATATAACATTACTTTATTTGTAGCCCACTCTATATCCCTAAGAGGATTCAGGGTGGATTCCAACATAATAAAGGCAAACATTCAATGCCTGTATAAAACAGAAGTAAGAAAATATAAACAACAAACAATAAATACATTACACAAGTTAACACAAGTAATTTAAATAATAATAATTAAATCATCAACATTTAAACCATTAAAAGTCAGGTAAGATAGCATATCAAATCCGTTTCTTATTCCATTTCGTTTATCAATTTATAAGCTTTATTCCTCCTTCTCATCATATGCTTGAGAGCATAGAAATGTTTTAAGTTGCTTTTAAAAAGTGAATAAGGAGGGAGCCATTTTCACCTTCTTGGGGAGGCCGCTCCTCTCCTTCCCACCAGCTGCGCTTGTATACACAAGCTAGATACATGGATCAAGAATAGGCATATCTGTATTCTTGCTCAGAGCAACAATCACAATGAAGGCATATCTGTGTGTACAGAACAACTATCAAGGAAGGCAGGCAGAAACCAAATCACAGAATCCAACTGGCATATACAACCAAGACAAAAAATACACATTCATTTCTATAGCAGCAGTCAAAGAAAAGTGATATGGACACACAATCATCCATTCAACATTTATTTAGACTAACATAAAAACAGACTGGGGCAGCTCCTAGGGTTTTCTACCAAATCTTTTCTTCTTCCCTCATTCCAGAAGTCAGTTCCTTTGAGGTGACCTTTCCCACAATGGCTATTTGTAGCTCAAGTAGCCACTTGCAAGCACTTTTCCCACTTGGCCTTTATTTAAAAAGAAAGATGGGATGAAGCTCTAACATTCAAACCAAGCATTTGCAACCACACACTCAACAGAAGGTTTAAATCAGCTAAGGAACTCAGTGGAGAATTCTCCCTCTGCACTTGAAGAAACATCAGTTCTTCAAAGCCCCAGGCATCTCCCATAACTAATTTCAGGTCCTCTTAGTAATTTGAAAATCTATTTTCACAAGATAAATATTAAACATTGTTATTGTTAGGTTATGCAGATGCATAACATAAGGACTTAATATTTATGTGATGGGCAAATGAAATAGGCCACTTCAATAAGAAGAAGCAGCAGAAAAACCAAATATCCGTACACTGGTAATGGCTTCAGAACTGGCCCATAGACACCAGTAGAACTTTCTGAAGCCATTCTGCTACCAAGCTCAAGTGATTATTTTTAAATTAAAAACACAGTCAGAAAACATCCCAAAATGCATCCTGGGTGTCATTCTATTTGAAGGGTGCATGGTAACATTAGTAGAGGGCACAGAGGCTAAATCCCTTCCCCAACTGCCACTTTTAGAGGGTTACTCACCAAATTAGGTCACTGCCAAGGGAAGGGCAGGGATACTTGAGAATAGCTGGGGTTTCCATAGAACAGGCATTGCTCTGTACCCCTCCAAGTGATTACAATGGGCATGACAATTTTTCTGAGATACAGCCTTACTATGGGTTGCTGTGAGTTTTCTGGGTTGTACGACCATGTTCCAGAAGCCTTACTATGTCTCAGTGAAGGACATCTGAGACATAACATTTCATGGTGCTCTCTCATTTTGAGTGAAAACTGCTGAGCCAATGCTGAGACCATTCATTTTTCACTATTTGCCTCATTCATTGCAGGAAAAAATACAACAGATAGAGCATTCTACCCTTATGCAGTGTCTTCTCTAAGAAACACAGAAATTGTGTGATAGCAAGGAATGTAATACTACTGAATTACCAACAATATGAAATTTGCACTTTTAAACCCACAATAAATGTTGGGGTAGCAATACTTCTCAAAAATCATATGAAAGTACAGGGAAAGAAAAGAAAAATCTAGGACTCATAGAGTTGGAAGAGATCGCAGGGCTATCCAGTCTAATCCCTACAGGAGACATGAGGTGCATCTACATTGTAAAATTAATACAGTTTGGCATCACTTTAACTGAAATGGTTCAGAGTTATGTAATTGTGGGAATTGCAGTTTCACAAAGTTTTTAGTTCTCTCTGCTAGAGTGCTGGTGCCTCACCAAACTACAACTCCCATGATTCCATAGTATGGCAGTTAGTCGTATCAAACTGCATTACCTCTACAGTGTAGATGCACCTAAACGGTAACCCTACTCTGTGTGTGTGTGTGTGTCATTTTTATTACTCTTCCATAAAAAATCAACACCACTTTTGGTAACTTGCTCTGATGTCATATTGCTACATGTGGCAGGCAGAAGCTGAAGAACCACAAAATCCGCTACTGCAATGCAAAGAGCCCTTTATCAAAAGGCTTCACTTTGAAAAACTCATTTGGTTCCCTTTCTTGTGCACACTTAAAGGGCATGACTAGATCACATAGGGACTTTACCTCACCATCCCAAAGTAAAGTCAGATGAAACAAATCCTGTTGTGATGCCTAATAGTAACAGGTGTCTCTCTTGTCGATCTACTCCCTGTTGTAATGAGCGCCAGCAAGGCTGTTCAGTCAAGAGATATGCAAGGCAAGAGAGGAGGATGAACACCCGGTTGTTTATTGACCCAGCTGTCAGAGCTGTCAAGAGGTA